CTGTCTTGGGATATAGTCCAGTGGTAAAGCACTCCTGAGTTTAATCTCTGGTATGGAAAAAAATGTCCAAAATAAAGGTGTCATTAGATTCTGCCAAGGGCTGTGGTCGGAGGATTTATTCCAGGTCTCTCTCCTTGATTTGTAGACCACCATCTTCTCTCCATTTSTCTCTGCATCATACTCCCTCTATGAGTGTATACTTCTGTGTCCAAATCACTTCCCTTTTGAGGACATCAGTYGTACTGGTTTAGGGCTTATCTTAATGACTTCATTTTAATTTGATTACCACTCCAAAGACTCTCTTTCCAAATAAGGTCACATTCTGAGATACTGGAGGTTAGAACTTCAACATATGGGTTTGGAGGTGGGGCACAATTCAATCCATAACACCACTCCTCTAGTTTCCCCCTCATTACTTTCAACTCCAAAATCTAAGTACCCGGTCCCTGACCCATCTCACCTGTGACAGAGCAGTGCTTGAGAATGGGAGTTTGTGCATTTGTTGGTATACAACTGCCAGTAAGCATGTGATCTATAAGGATGGGGAAGGTGAGGAAATGCTCATTAAGCAAATGGGACTTGGATTTCAAGTAATAACAAAAGATGACTCTTATTCTGTGAGGCACTGTCTATTAAGGTATTTTTAAAAAAAATTCTTACCCCAATAATAATTACAAGTACTTAACATAGCACTTGATAAGTGCCAGGTATGTTCCAAGCACTTTATATACAGTAATTTGAATTCCCACAACATCCCTATGAGGAGGTACCATTATTAACCTAATTCTACAAATAAGAAATTGAGGCCCACAGAGCTTCTGAAACTTTTGTGAATCTGTAGTATCTGATGGAGTTGGGGCTGGAACCTCAATAGTTGGCACCAGAGACTATGCTTTTAATCATTACCTGATAGTGATTAGAAAAGGCAGGAATTATTGTTCTAATTGACTATATGAGGAAACTGAAACCAAGAGACTAACTTATCCAGGGTCACATGGGTAAGAAGGCAGATTTCCAGGCTAGAAAGCACTGGACAGGACCTAGTGTTGGAGTCCTTTCCCCATAGCCAACTCCACGAGTAGTAGGGCCAATCTCAAAAACCTTATTTGGGCTTAACTGTCTGCATACCTCTGGGTAATTATGGGGCATGAAAGTGGGGAGGTACTCTCTCAATTTAGATTTGACCTCCCAGTGGTTTCCTGTTCCCAGGACCACTATCCCCGAGGCATAAGGGCGAGGCTTACGTCTGCGACTTTTCTAAGCTCAGGTTAGAAACTGGGAGTGGGCTGGAGAAGAGGCTGGGAGGGGTGGATAGCACAGGAACTCAAGAGTATCATATTTCTCACACGCAGCCAATCCCGAACGTCGGAGGGCGTGGCCACACCTGGAAGGCGTGGCCAGACTGCGGAGGGGGCTGTGGCGTTCTGGGGCGAGGCGCTGACGTGAGCTCCGCGCACCTGGGCTGGGCAGGTAAGGGCTGGTGTGCGACTCTGGGAGGAACCCTCAGTCCCCACTTGCGCAGATCCAGGAGTCACTGGGCCAGGCCGTCGAGGGTCACAGTGGCTAAGGGTGATCTTATTGCGGACTTGATTCGGAGGGACATCAGCTTCGGGTAGCCAACTGAAGACAGGTGGGGACGCCAACTTCTGGAGACAACCTAGATCGAGGGGAGACACCTCCATGGGTGGAGAAGGGCTCCATTACAGTTTGTATGGGTGGGAGAGCCTGCTTTGATACCCACTGGGGCTGAGTGCATGTCGCCCTCCTCTAGGTAACTTTGGGGTCCTAGTTCCTCAGCGCTGGGCCCCTCCCGCTTCCCTCCTGCGGAAATGGAATTCGCTGCTCTTGGCCCCCTCCTACTCACCTCAACATCGGATCGCGCCAAGGTGCCCCCACCCCCACTCCCCTTCTGTGTTAACTAACTTGGTCACTGGCCCCAGGGTCCCAGCGGGAACTTCCCAGGTGCTCTGGCCCTAGGTCCTGGTGGGTGTTTTGGGAAATTGGGAAGGAGGAAGACAAGGAACTTTGGCCGGTTTGTTTTCCTTCCCTTAGTTTGTTTAGCACAGTCAGGCCTCTGCCCTGGGCCTGGGAGACACCCTTGGATTTCCAAGTAGCTAAACTAGGTGTTGGGGAGGGTGGCGCTAGGCGTGGCCGCTCGAGGTGAGGCCCTCTTTGCCTGAAGGGGCTGGAGGTAGGTGTGGGGAAATGGTGAATGTCTTCCAACCCTGACAGGGAAGGAGGGCTGGGGTGCCACCCTTTATAGAAGCCTACTTTGTGGTTCCTATTCGGTTCTCTTGGTGGATACCAAGAATGGAAGCCCGGGAATGGAGAGGGAGAAGGTGCTTCAACAAGGATTGGAGACCTTCAGGGTTAGATGTGTGTATAAAACGTGAGAGTGCCACCAGTATTCTGCATCCCTTTTGTCACCCTCCAACTTTAATCCAGCAGGAAGGAAGGAAGGTGAATTATGGGTAGAGACCCAGACTTTACCCCTGGGGAACTTAGGATGGCATTTCAGTTTCCTTCAGGAGGAAAAAAACAAGTGGGACTTACTCTAAGATCTGTCTGCAAGAAATGGTGGGTGTATTTTACTATGAGCAAAACTTAATGACAGCCAAATCAGGGCATTGAGGTAACAGCGCCCCTGGAAACTGGCCTGGGCAGGGGCCGGGAAGGTGGTGTCAGTAGTGTTTATAGAGGTCATGCCCCCTGGACCCAGCCCATGAGAGAGGACAGTTAGTGCCCTGGGGAGGATGAAAGAGTCCCTGTTCTGTGTTCACTGTGAGGGGAGTGGATGGGTGGCATCTTTATCTTTGGATGGTTACATACCTGTTTGAGAGAAGGCCTTGAATTTTGCTGTGATGGCAGATGGAGATACCAGGGCTGATTTTAATTAGGTAAGTTTGAGTGGTGAGAGGCTCTGAAGAGCACTCTGATTTAAGTGTGTTTGAGAATGGGTGTCATCCACTCACTTTGTTGTTCCTTCAGGGAGGCTTTGTTGTTGTTTTGGTTTGTTCTCTTAGTGTGTAGAAGAAGATAGGAGGGTCTTGGAATGTATGTAGGGTGCAGTAGCTAGCTAGATTTGGTACAGCTCACTCTGACTTAGGAGTGTTGGTTCTGGGCTCAACCAGTACCATATAATGCACACAATTTTTGGTGCCTTAGTTAATGCAGCTTTAAAATGGGAATAATACCACCTCTAGGATCCTGAAGATAAAAGCAGACATATTAAGTAAAAGTACATGTAAAACTGAAAGTCTTATGCAGGTATGAAGGATTGATATCATCTTTTATAAGAAATGGTATGGTCCTGTGGTTAAAAAAAAAAAAAAAAAAACAAACTACTGGAAGTTAAAAAACTGGAAACATGTCAATATAGGGAAATGTAAATGATATAGGAAAATATAAAAAATACCCATAATCCATCACAAGGTAACATTATAAAACTCATATTGAATTGGTATATTTCCCCTTTTTCACTTCTGTGTGTATGTGCATTTGTATAATAGTATGTTATGTTAAAAAGTGGAAGTACTACATATAATCAGTGTTGTATGCTGCTCCCCTCCCAATTTCAAATTGTAAAACTTTCTCCAAATTCCATAAAAGTTCTTCCAACACCCTTTATTAATGGCTGTTTGATATTGCAGCCTGAATATGAAACTTAGCCACTTCTGACTCTTGGCATTTTGGTTGTTTTCAATTTTCTCTCTCTGCCTATTTGGAGAGTCTCAGTTACTAGACGGCAGGTGAGGGGGGGATCTTGGCTGACTTTCAGAAGGTGGAGAGGGTTGGCAGTGAGGTAGGTAGGGCACATAGGAGGGCAGGTTGGGACTCTTTCCCATGAGCTGAGGTGGGGTTGTTCAGGTATAGTCCCATCTGGGGAGAACACTGAGAACCCAAGCTCTAGATCTTCATCACTGATCTCTATGGGTGGCTGCTCCTCCTTCCCCATCCTAGTTGCAGCTCCTTATCATGGTTGTATTACCTCATTTTTTTCTTCATGGACTATGGATCAACTACAATAAGATCAGTCAAGAGGTAAATTTCATGTGTCTGACAGGCTCTGACACAGGTTTTACCAGTAGTGCAATAGAAATTCTCAAAAGCCCCTTACTAGGTTGATTGGTTTCTGGTCCATTTCTCTGTTCTCTTTTTCCTCCCTTTGCTCTATTCTCCTTTTGGTAGGGCTGTGACTGGGAGGAGAAGGTAAAACTTGCCCTTGGAAGAAAATGCATTCCCTCCTGATTATAAGGAGTACATGTACTCCATGGTTTAATGGGCTTGCATGCTGCCCTTCAAAATACCCTAAACCAAGGTGAGGAATGGGGGCCCTTGAATACTGTTTGCCAAGCTCACTTGCCCACTGTGAGCCATGCTCCCTGGGGGAAGGTTTCAGGTCCTGGACTCCGTAATTGGGTCAGAAGGCTCAGATGAGAGCAGTTCCTACCTTGCTCTTAAAGTGCCAGAGGCTGAGTTGGGTTTGGGTTCTTCGAATTTATTAGGAATCTGGCTGGGGAGGAAAGTAGGATTAGGGTCACTCCTTGGCCAGGCTTGTCTGAGTGGGAGAGTTCAGCTGACTTACCTAGTTTGGTTTCAAAACTGTGATCTAGCTAGGGATCTTTCTGGGTGTGAATGTCATCACTTCTTTTTAGGCTATTGTCGGGGCTTGAACAGTTCCAGTGTGGATTTTCTCAAAAATGGACATCTGATGAAAACATTGGGCTTCAGTGTTTAATAACTAACACAGTGCTTGGCACACAGTAGCGGGTGAACAAATATTTGTTGAATGACGTTGTTGTTCCAGGCCTCCATTTCTTGTCTTAAGTAAAAGCAAAATAAAAACATCAAAAAGTCCAAACATAACATCGAAGGCAAACAATTCTCCAGTGACTACCTTTTTCTTTGGGCACCCGATCCAGGCAGGCCTTTGTTTTCTGCTGAGTGCCGGCTGCACAGTTAGTTATCTGCTGTGCCCATGTATTTTTATGAGAATCAATTGCAGACTTTACCCAGGCTGGCGCCTCTAACTAATCGACTAACTCCAGCCTCTGTGGGGAGATAAACAGACCCAGGTGAGGAGGCTGTGCTAACTGTGCAGGGCTTGTCTTATGTCTGTTTCTTGTAGGTTAAAGTTAGGAACTGTGGTATTTGATTATTGTAAGGGCTTCTGAGCTTTACCAGTCTGTTTTGGAGAAGTGTTCTCAGAGGCTTTGTCTTTACTGTTCCTGAACATTCTCCTAGAGACTGCTTTTTCTTGGTACAGAATCTTTGGGTGGTCAAGAGAAAGAAAAGCCGACTCAGCCCAGCTCTTCAGAACTCTGTGAATAGACTGCCTGGACAGACTGCCTGCTCACCCATGTAAGTGAGGACTTTGGAATCCAGGATCCGCCCCTCACATACTGTCACCATGATATGGGCTTCTTATTAAACATTCCTACTCATTTTCAGTTGTCTCATTTGAAAAGAGAATGTACTTCTTGCCTTTGTACGTGCTGTTTCCATAGCTTTTTTCTTTCYTTCTCATGGGGAGAGATTGTAAAGAGCAATTGCCCTTCTCTTCCAAAGCCCTTGGTACTTCAGGAAAAACTGTTCCAGCAGGGATGACATCACCTTTTTATTTTTCTGCTTCAGGATTTAAATAGAAGAAATGTGATCTACTTGCATGATAAGTCTGATTTGGCTAGAGCATGAAGTATAAATGGCTTTGGAATAAGAATYAAAAGAACCTTTTTACCTCTTTCCTACCTGGCACAGTTTATTCYCATATTTAGTTTCTTTACTGTAATCTAGTGAAACTGTAGCTTTAGCATACGGGAATAGTAGCTGGGAAAAGTTCCCAGTGGCTGGCCTAATTTTCCTGCTCTCCCTATTTCTTATCCCCCTACCCTCAGATCATGGCGCTCCATCCCCGCAGAGTCCGGCTGAAGCCCTGGCTGGTGGCCCAGGTGGATAGTGGCCTCTATCCTGGACTCATCTGGTTACAYAGAGACTCCAAACGCTTTCAGATTCCCTGGAAACATGCCACACGTCATAGCCCCCAACAAGAGGAAGAAAATACCATTTTTAAGGTAAAGGACTCTTTACCATATGAGTTAAAAATTCTTCCAGTTCTCAGAACTTTCYGGGTTGGTTTGCTTGTATTTTGTCTGTTTTGGCATGAGGAATACACTRAATCTAAAATTGATGAAACAGATTTATGATAGAAGTACCCAAACTTATCAGGCATAGTACTTCTTGGGGCATGTCTCTTGAAGCCCTGTATTTTCCATTGGTTGAAGGTATTTAATTCATRTTCCAGAGGAGTTGAGGTGGGGTCAGCTAAACTGTAAGTGGTTGTACTGATGTGTTTAGGTCAGCCACTTTTCTTCATTCCTTCAGGACCCTTGCTTGAAGACAKGTGCTTAGACCTGAGGATGGCTCTTAGACTAGGGCAGAACTTGTATTTAGCACAAGCTAGGGAACCTATTAGGGAATATGGCCTGTAAGATGGGTGTAGAGGGCCTTCAAGATGTTATTCTTTTAATATTAGAATATATTGCCCATATTCATAATGTCTCCTTAAAAGTTAAGAATAACTTTTTAATTCTTTCAAATTTTTAATTCTTTCAATACATTTTCTGTGGTATTGGGATTGAACTTGGGGCCTTGCACATGCAAAGCACACACTCTTACCACTGAACTACAGCCCTGGCTTAATTATGTTTTTTAAAAATAAAAAATAGCTCTGATATGATAGTCATTTTATTGAACTGAAAATAAGATTTAATCACATAGCATCTTACAAAATTAAAGTGAAACCAAGGGCAGTAGGTTCCATGTAGTTATACTTCCACGAGATGCACTTSTACTTCAGACCAACTTCTTCCTGCTGCTCCCTTCCATCTCAGAAGTAGATTTAATTCCTGAAGTCCCAATTAACAGAGAAGCGAGTTTGCCCTTTTCTTCCCTGACTGTGAACTGGAAGGCAGAAGTGTAATCCAGCCCTGACTGTGGGCCTCTCAAGATTGATGTCCTGGCTTCTTGTTGATATTGGATCAGGAAAGGGCAGGAAAGGTAGGGTCAGAGCTTACACGAAAGCCATCCTAGTGATATTTCCCCACTGACTGGGTTTTGCCAGGTGTAGAGAGGAGAGGCAGAGAGAAAACTGGCCTGTGGGTACTTAGAAGGAATGTAAATGAACACATCTAATGTAGATATAAGTAAAAAAGAGGTGTTATAGAAAATATTTACAAAAAACCTCCCAGTTATTGAAGTTGGCATTGAGGAGGGGATTGGCCTGCCCTGGATTTCTGGCCTCCCTGTGGCCTTGGTCTGAAACTGGATTTGCAATTGAAGTGTCCAGTTGGTCATGGGGAAGAGGCTGATTCCTGAATGCCTCACACATGAGGGTGACCTGAATGCTTGGGGTTTGAGGAAACTCTGGGGAGTCTGCTTGGCTTTATTTGTATCACTGTATCTGCAGAATGTGAGGGAGGGCCTGGGAGATCAGGAGAAGAGTTAGGGTGCTTTCGCTGAGCCCAAGCTCTGATACGCCTTTAGTAAGACACATGGGTGAGGAACTGGCATGCACTAGGTGCATGTGTCTATGATCTCACTTAATTCTCATGATAACCCCTGAGAGAGGTATTACCTGCATGTTGTAGATGCAGAGGCTGACTCTATGAGGGTCTGACTAACTTTTCCAAAATCACACAGCCAGTATATGGTGGATCCAGGATTTGAACTCATGTCTTTTGTTCCTCTACCCCCTTCCCACTAAAACACTGCCTTTTCTAAGACTTATGGAGAATTGGAGTATCTGGCCTCAAATCATGCCAACATCAACCTTCCCTTCAGCAAGGCAGGTAACCTCAATGGGCTTCAATTTCCCCATAGAATAAATTTGGTATGAAAGCAGTCTTAACTTGCAAAACTTACGTGATTATTGTGGAAATCAAGTGAAAATAAGTTTTGGAATGGATTTGTAAAGCATCATAAAAATAGATTTTCTTCATTTTAGAAAGAGAAATAAATGGTGGGTATGGTGGTACACACCTGTAATTCCAGTGATTCAKGAGGCTGAGACAGGAGGATCGCAAGTTTAAGACCAGCTTCAGCAACTTAGCAAGGTCCTAAACAACTTAGCCAGACCTTGTCTCAAAATTTTATCAAAAGAAATAAGGATCTACACAGAGATCAGAATTTCTCTAAAGCACAACTCAGGATGGGTTTGAACAAGTAATATTTATAAGTCACAAAGATTGTCACATGGTACTTCTTAGGACCACCTTTCTTGATTCTGAAAAGGATACAGTCTTCTGATGTATTAGACATGGATCCTTAGTGTCATCTGAGTGGGCCAGGAGGATGCTGTGTGGTAAGCAGGAAGGTGGGGCTGTGGTTCTGGCTTAGTTTGGCTGTTCTCCATGGAGGGGCAGGGCTTTAGGGAACCACAGAAATTTGCAGTCTTCTGCCAAAATCTGCACAGCCCGAGTTGACTGGGTGGGACCAGAGTGAGCATGAACATGGAGGATCAAACAAACAGAAGGAAAAACATGGGGAGGCAGCAATAGGTACAGCAAGTAACTGCAGATGTGTCTCCCAGACACTAGGGACCAGTGAAGTTGAAATCACCTAGGGGATTTGATGGAATGGAGCAGCAGTTAGGCCCCTAGTTCCTGCTAAGCCACTGAGTTCTTTATCTCTACCACAAAACAAATGTAGGAACCCAATCTGAAAAGATAGTAAGAGGAAGTGAGTCTGAATTAGAAGAAGAGGAGGAAGATTTTGATTAGCCCTGGAAAGAATCTTCCACATGATACCAGGCTCTGTAGGGGGGTGACTGAGGGAGATCAAAAATCTCTAGGATTAGGTAGAAAAATTCAATTTCTGTTTTAGGAAGAAGTCTATGGTCAGAACCAGAGACAGAGAAGTTGGTTTGCATAAGTGACATGCCCTTTCAGCTTGAAAAGTTAATGTGTGCTTCATATATTGAGTTTTYTCTAATGACATTTCCTTATTCTACATCAGGTGTCACACTCCTGAAGACAGTTCAGAGATGAGAGTATATGTTAGCAACAAGGGAGAGGTATCCAGTGAGTGGAAACTTAAATGCCTGTTAGACCTGGATGGGTTTCTACTACTTGCTTTGTTTCTAAGGAACTTGGTTTATAGGCCAAGCAGCCTGGCTTTTCCTTTTCCTCACTGGGGAGACTACCTTGTTCCCCTTCTCTGGTGATACTGYTGCAAGTTCCCCTATTTGAAATCAGAGAGGAAGAGTCAAAGTGGTTTTAGCCCATGCTACCAGCCACTGCCATGGTGATGGCATGAGGTTTCTAGTGCAGGTGGAGTTTGAGAATAGGGAAAGATGAGAAGTATGGGTTTATTAGAATTTGCAGCCCTCAGCTAAGAGGGGCAAGCTGACCCCACATAGTATGCTTCCTGTCCTCCTAAAGGCTGTGGGTTTCTATAGTTCTTTATGTATAAGATTAAAGACTGAAGGGAGGGGACCAGCCAGACAAATTCTYTTTATCTGCCACCCCTCTTTGTTGTACATATTCCTACATAAGCAATCCATAATAAAAATGGTTAAGGAAGAAGAAAAAAGATTTTCTCCAGACTTTTTATTATTTTCAACCCTTCATTGTAGCATCGACATCTTGACAGGTGCTGGTACTAGGCTTGAGATAAGAGTCCTCCTTTCAAAGTTAATTTTGCACATAACTTATTTCCCTTTGGTCCCACCCCTCCTGGTCCTAAGGGCACTGTTGCCTACTGTAATCTCTGTAAAATGGGATAAGACTGTGGGGCACTCACCCAGATGTGTGTGCGTCTGTATGGGAAGGGGTGRGCATATGCTTTGCAGTGGTCCCCGGCGATAGTAGGCACTAACTGCAGTTTCCTGTCCCTCAGGCCTGGGCTGTAGAAACGGGGAAGTACCAGGAAGGGATAGATGACCCTGACCCAGCAAAATGGAAGGCCCAGCTCCGCTGTGCTCTCAACAAGAGCAGGGAATTCAACCTGATGTATGATGGTACCAAGGAGGTGCCTATGAACCCAGTGAAGATATATCAAGTGTGTGACATCCCTCAGCCCCAGGGTTCAATCGCTAACCCAGGTAAGGCCCAGGTGCTGGGGAGAAGGTGGGCTATATGCCAGATTGTGGGATGGACTCTTAAAGAGATAGTCAAATTGAAAACAGCCTGGTTTTCAGAGTTTTAGACTGGTAAAACTTGAAAAGCTATCCCTAGGAAGGACCCAGAGAGCAAATGGTATATGTTCAGTAATGTCTTCTTGCTCACATAGGGGAAATGGTTATTGCCTGYATTGTTAGAGCATGAGAAGTACAGTATAGAGTTCTGCTGTAAAAATAGCCTCTCCTGAGACTCGAGAGGCCAGGTTGTTTTATAGGAGGAGGAATTAGAGCCTAGAAGGTTTGAGTTCTAAACTTCTTTTTATCACTTGACCTGTTGTGGGACTTGAATCAGGTCATTGGGCCTCTTCAGCTCTAAAATGCAGGATCTCATCTTTCTTGCCTATTTCAAGGGCTATTGTAAGAATCAATTGACAAGACATGTAAAAGCTATTTAGTTCTTTAGAAATGTTGGGTGAGTGATCATTTAATTTGTAGGATACTTTTGCTAAGAGAAAAACACCTGATCCTCCTATTTACTCAATTCTTAGTGAATAGTGAAAGCCAGATAATTTAGACATGTATTCCAGTGAATCCAGGGAGGCCCTGCCATAAGATAAGAGTCTCTGCCTCATGAGAAGCTCAGAAGGGTGGAGCTCAGCGAAGACTTGCCAAATAAAAATTTACTTTGCAGAGTTCTTAAAAGAGGTGCCTGAGTATAGAAAGTTAGTAGTAGCAATACTAATGTACAGAGATTAAAGTTTAAGAGAAGGAAATGGAGTCTGCAGYTTCTGGATTGGGGAAGAGAGAAGAGCATATATTAGGACCCATAGGAAGATTTGGAACTGGGAGTTAGTATACCCTAGGTTCCCATTTTTTTTTTTTTTTTTTAAGGCTAGGGCATTGAGAATGCATACTAATCCTGGGGAGRCTCTGTGCTAGTAGTCCCTTGCTTAGGTGATGGGTCAGCTGCAGTGATRATAGTTCAACTTGAAGCACTAACTTATGGGCATATGTATTATGTGTAGGCTCTACAGGGTCTGCTCCCTGGGATGAGAAGGATAATGATGTGGATGAAGATGATGAAGAAGATGAGCTTGACCAATCTCAGCACCATGTTCCTATCCAGGATACCTTCCCCTTCCTGAACATCAATGGTCAGTGGACTGGTGGGTGGTATAGAGGGATAAGGAGGATACAAGGATTTTGGCTTTTAAACTGCTGACCCCTTGGCTACCATTGCCCTGGGAGTAGTGATTGGGCCCTGTGGTCAGACTGCGCTGGTCTGAGAGCAAAGAATAGTCACAGGCATGGGAACTTTGCTGGCTCAATTATTCCAGTGYAATGAAGTGGGTTCTAGGCATAAAGGACATCTAATTCAAAGAAATAAAAAACAATTAAACTCATTCCAAATCCCACATGCAAACATCAGTGGTTATAAATTTTACCTGTTTTTTTTCCCCCAGAGGAAGTGCAGATAACATTTTTATGAATTGTAGGCAAACTGTTCTATCAGTTCCCTTGGTATAAATTCTATGTCACTTCCTTCTACTAGGTAGGGACTACTCTACCTAGGCTATATCATGGGAAACTTGCTGTTTCTATAGCTGTTGATACTAGGCTCTGATGGGATTTATCAGCAAGGAACCTTTCTTTTGTGAACTTTTGAATTCAGCTTCCCAGGAACAATTAGTTGAGAGGTTGGGAGGCCTCTATGTGACAGCACATATTCTGAAGATACTCAAAACACAAGTTGAATTGTTCTTCTGCAATATTTTCMTGTCATCTCTCCACTGAAATGCTCTGAGCTAAATGATTCACATCCAGTTCAGCTATTTGCCATATTTTTAGTACCACCTRTATGTCATGAGTCACTTCAAATAACTTGTGCCACCTAAAAAAACTTAGTATATCAAGATGTTTTCTTTAGGATTTGGGGGTCTCTATCTTTGAGAACCAGGAATGACACTTATTGTCTGTCCAGTGTCCCTCCTTCACATATCCTGCCATTTAGATATTTGTAACCAAGTGATGAGTAAATAAAAATTCCGTGGAATTTACTTCTAGGTTAGTATTGCCATGTGCTATATTCTCACTTAGAGAAATTTTAAGATCTGGACATCTGGAAATGCAGATGTTTTCCCAAATTCTTGGCTGACTTATTCTGTTCTTCTCACCCTTTAAAAGTATGAACCAATCAGGATCCTGATTTCCTATCTCTGCTCATATTTTCTTAAAGTTAACATGTGTCCTTATGTTTTGAGCTGCCTTGGATTATTTTTGGAAAGGTGTGGACTATATATTATAAACAAAAATGTCAATTGGATACATAGATTTAACTATACTTGAACAAAGAGGGTCAAAGAAACATTAACCTCTGTGATTTCAGAGCTGTTGGGGCAGAGGAAGAAGAATTATTGAAGAATAGATGCCTAAGAGGTGAGGCTAGGAAGAGGAATCTGTAGAATTTGGAGCAAGCCAACTTTGACAGTAACAGGGAAATAGGATTAGGCTTTTTACTCTTCTTTAAAAGACTAAATTGAGTATATTTGAATGAATAATATGTTCACATGGTTTAAAATCCATAATCGTACAATAAGGTAATCAATTGAAGTTTTCTTCCATTCTCTCCCTGAACTTTCCAATTCTTTCCCTGGAAAAGACAAATCTATGTTCTTGAGTATCCTTCCAGACCCTTTTAAAAATATATTTTTTAATTTTTAATTTGTTCTTTTTAGTCTTCCAGACATTTTATACATGTAAAAATATTTGTTGATTTTAATAGAATTTCTATATATTAATATTTACTCAATGATAATCGGCTAATTCAATTGAGTTCACTTTATGGAAGACAACTAGCTTCTATGTAATTGCTGAGGCCAAACTTTGTTGCAAAGCATCTCACACTCATGCCTTTTCTAATGTAATGCTTCCCTTCCCCAAGATAAATCACTTGTTTCTGTTAATCTTTTGCAAATATAAGTTTTTAAAACTATGAGTTTATGGGGTAAATAATATGATTAGGAAGGAGGTGTTGGGGAATCTTATTTGTATTGTGAGTTATGGGAATCATCGGGGTGGGAAATCACACTAGATCATGTTTCAGTGTTTGATTCTTGTCTTCGGGTCTTGTTAATTCTTAGATCCTCAAAGTGGGTGATGTTCTTGTGTGCTACTCTTTCCTGTTCACCGACATCCTTCTGTTCTAGGTTCTCCCATGGCACCAGCTAGTGTGGGCAACTGTAGTGTGGGCAACTGCAGCCCTGAAGCAGTATGGCCCAAAACAGAACCTTTGGAGATGGAAGTGCCTCAGGCACCTATTCAGCCTTTCTATAGCTCTCCAGAGCTGTGGATCAGCTCTCTCCCAAGTAAGTGAGCACTGATCTTTCTGGGTCTTCATCTCTTAACAATAATCCCTTCTTATTGCACTTTCTGCTTCCATTTCTTTGGAATGTGTGGAGTAGCTGCCTGCCCCACGAGTGCCCTATTTCCTGACTGTCAGATGAGTCACTAGGGAAGTAAAGAAACATTGACCCATGCCTCGTTGCTCATGGGGATGTTCTGATTGGYTATATAGCTTCAGGTTACTCACCTCTTAGGTGGGTAGGAGACCTGAGTTTATTAGTCTGACAAGGGGATTTGTGGAAGGAAAAAAAAAAAAAACAACAGCTGTGGGATAGGGAGGTTAATAGCCATGGATATGGTCAAGGAGGTTCTTGATTTTGAGGAGCTTTAGGGGTCTTTCTGAATTTGGTACAAATTTATCTTAAAGAAGAATCTACACCATTACCCTGATCTCCCTTTCATACTATGCTTTGGTGTGAGAGCAAATATTTTGTCCAAGAGGCTAAGTAGCTTTGATAAAGCCTRTTGGGTTCAACGAAGACTTGCCAAATAAAAATTTACTTTTCAGAGAACTGTGCTTTTGGTGTATATTAGAATAGATCCAGTATGTGCTCACATGTGTGATTTCTAGAAAGATGACTAAGTATTTCTTTTTGTTCCTCTGGCTTCTTTGTGCCAAAAATTAGACACAAATCAGACACCTTACTTTTTAGCTCCTTCCAATGCTTATTGGTGTGGACAGTTGCTCAATGAATATGGAACACCAGGACTCAGCACTTTGGTGAAATTATAGTCCTTAGGATGTGGTAACTGACCAGATGGGCCTCAAATGCTTTGCTTCGAGGCAACTTTTTGTGTGAATATTCCTGGGATATGTTGATGTTTCCCTTTATTGCAGGAAGGATAACTCTGGCAGTGGCCTTTCTGAATTCCAGTTGAAAGGTGGCTTGATAATGATGGACTTGCATGAGTCTTAGGGACAGACAGGCAGAGAAGTGGAGCAGAACTCACTGTCATGTCTCACCTTGCAGTGACTGACCTGGACATCAAGTTTCAGTACCGTGGGAAAGAATATGGGCAGACCATGACAGTGAGCAAYCCTCAGGGTTGTCGGCTCTTTTATGGGGACCTGGGTCCCATGCCTGACCAGGAGGAGCTCTTTGGTCCTGTCAGTCTGGAGCAGGTCAAATTCCCAGGTCCAGAGCATATCACCAATGAGAGGCAGAAGCTCTTCACCAGCAAGCTACTAGACGTCATGGACAGAGGTCTGATCCTGGAGGTCAGCGGTCATGCCATTTATGCCATTAGGCTGTGCCARTGCAAGGTGTACTGGTCTGGGCCATGTGCCCCATCACTTGTTGCCCCCAACCTGATTGAGAGACAAAAGAAGGTCAAGCTATTTTGTTTGGAAACATTCCTGAGTGGTGAGTCTTTTTTCACAAGTTTGATGGTGGGAATTGCTCCTGGAAGTTTAATCTTCCTCCATCCTTCCTTTTTTTCTTCCTCCTTTCCTGGCTTAGCAGTGATCTTAACCAAAGAAATTTCTTCTGCTGGAGGTCAGGGAAAAGAGAACCTAGATTCTGAAGATGAAAGTGACCTAAGCATGAGGAAAGGAGTTCCACTAGAAGGCAAAAATATATGGAAACTATTTCTAGAATGATTCTGGCTCCTTCAGTGGCAGGAGGAAGACAGTATTATTGTTAACCCCTGAATGTTATTAGCTTATATTTAACTTTAGAAGGTGGTCTTGTTCATCCTATTCAGAAAAACATACTTTTTTTTTGAGAAATATTCGATGAATTGAAGCAGATAATTTTAGGAAGATTATTAAGATGTGAATTTCACAATGTGGTTTGAACCCCAAGACTAGATCAACTACATCTAATAGAAGAACCCTCTGAAATGATGGGGATGTTTTCCAGTATGGTAGCTTGGTAACTGCTAGCCACATGTGACCATTGAGAATGTAAGTGTGACTAATGTGGCGAAGGGACTGTTTCCTTTCCTTTCCTTTTTTTTTTTTTTTTCTAAAAGAGAGAGAGAGAGAGAATTTTTTTTAATATTTATTTTTCAGTTTTTGGTGGACACATCTTTATTTTATTTTTATGTGGTGCTGAGGATTGAACCCAGCGCCCCGCACATACCAGGCTAGCGCGTTACTGCTTGAGCCACATCCCCAGCCCTCCCCCGCTTTTTTTTTTTTTTTTGGTACCAGAGATGGATCCCAAGGGCACCTATCCACAGAGCCACATTTCCAGCCCTTTTTATTTTTTTATAAGAACATCAATTACTTTATTTTTATTTATTTATTTATGGTACTGGAGATTGAACTTGGGGGCACTCAACCGCTGAGCCACATCTCCAGTCCTATTTTGTATTTTAGAGACAGGGTCTCCCTGAGTTGCTTAGTGCCCCCCTTTTTTGCTGAGGCTGGTTTTTGAACTCACAATCCTCCTGCCTCAGCCTCCCGAGCTGCTAGGATTATAGGCGTGTGCAATTTATTTATTTTTTTATGGTGCTAAGGATGGAACCCAGTGCCTCACATGTGCTAGGCAAGTGCTGTACCACTGAGCCACAATCCCAGCCTTTATTTTTTTATTTTGAGACAGGATTTCACTAAGTTTCTTAGAGCCTTGCTATGTTGCTGAGGCTGACCTCAAACTTATGACCCTCCTGCATTAGCCTTCTGAACAGTCGGGATTACAGGCATGTACCACTATTCCTGGCTGTGGGACTATTTACTTTTAATTAATTTAAAATTAATTGCCACATGTAGCTAGTGGCTAAGGGGCAGCATGAAAGATGGTATTTACTGAATGGTTATGGACTGACCTAATATATCAAATTTATTCTTCTATCTTCTGTAGATCTTATTGCCCACCAGAAAGGACAGATAGAGAAGCAGCCACCATTTGAGATATATTTATGCTTTGGGGAAGAATGGCCAGATGGAAAACCTCTGGAAAGGAAACTCATCTTGGTTCAGGTGAGAAAATAAGGGTGTATCAACAGTTCTTCTTTTTGCCAACACATTAGTCCCTGGTGTGGGTTGAGTCCTGATTGAGTATACATTAGTCTGTGTGAATTTTTATSCCATAAAATAGGGTAGCAGATTCAGACTTTGTACGGTAGAGCCAACCTGGAGAAGGTGAGTTTCTAAAATAGTTGATTGATTTAGTAAAGACCTTATTTTTCATTCTCTTACTGATATTAGAGTCTTATTGAGATCTTTTAAGATATGACTCTTGCTAGCTTTTCTTAGAAAAGCCTTTTGAGTTGTTTTTTAAGAAGGTAACCTTATTCTAGGAGTGGCAGCAAGGCCACTTGGGGTTGTGCAGTGAAGCTGGCAATAGATGGCATTTGGTCTTGCTAAGTAAGCAGCCATTTATTTAGGCATTTGATGTGATGCTACATGTACATTCTCTACTTTCAACTGAACCAACTTCTACAGTGAAACTTGGCAGATGATCTGGAGAGATGAAGGTATATCCTATATCTAGACATTACAGTGGTACTTCCTCAAAGACTCCTTGGTTCTTCTACAATCTTGGTCCCTCTTGCTAAAAATACCTCTTCAAGTTGAGCGTGGTGGCACATGTGTATAATCCCAGAGAAAGTCAGGGGCCTGAGGCTGGAGGATAGCAAGTTTGAGATAGGCTTCAGTTTGAGACCCCCTCCCCACAAAAAAAATAAAAGGAGGTGGGGGAATTCCTGGGCTCTATCTCCAGTTACCAATAACAAACAGATAAAAATTACCTTTATCTCATTGGACACTTGTGTGCTTTGTGTCCTGAACAGGTCATTCCTGTGGTAGCTCGGATGATCTACGAGATGTTTTCTGGTGATTTCACACGATCCTTTGACAGTGGCAGTGTTCGCCTGCAGATCTCGACTCCAGACATCAAAGATAACATTGTTGCTCAGCTGAAGCAGCTTTATCGCATCCTTCAAACCCAAGAAAGCTGGCAGCCCATGCAGCCCACCCCCAACATGCAACTCCCCCCTGCTCTGCCTTCCCAGTAATCYTGAATGCAATCTTCTCCCTCTATTTTTTTTACAACATTGTACATATGTTTTTGTGATTTTTGAAAAATATTCAGATTTAACCAGCTTTTAAACCTTTTTATTTTAATGTTAGAATTCTCTGACTTTTAAAATATACCTAGATTTTAAAGTTGATTTAATTTATGGAAAAAAAAATCACTCCTCGAATTTCCTTTTCTTTTTAAAAACATCAGATGGTAGAAGGAAATTTAGTCTGGGAGTTTGGACACCAATGTTCCAGCTGCAGCTTTGCTTCCAATGTGACCTTGAACAATTCATTTAACTTTTGGGCTTCAAATTTATCACTTGTAAATAAATCAGAATTGGAAGRATGCCCAAAATTATGTTCAGTTTTAAAACTCTGATTCAGGAACTGTATTCTACTTGTGCAAGGCAAAACTGCCTGGATCAGAACCTGTCTGCATTGTTCATGTACCACATTTTTCTTCTTGCTTTCATTAAAGTTCCCTCAAGCACTGATATGTCCAGGATTGAGCTCTGTTTGACCTGTTCTGCTAGTACAGTAAGCTGGCTCCCTGATGGGGAAAGTAAGAGGCTGACTGGTTGCTTAGGAACCAAGCTTGATATCTAAATAGAAATGGGTGCCAAAGTCTGAAAGTCACCTTGCTTGTGGAGTAAAAGTTCATAAATTGAGCTTCTAAAAGGAAGCTGATGACACAGAAAGCCTAGGGATTCTGTGAAAGAATGAGTTATCAGGTGTTCACCTTGTTACAACTCAGATACCACCTTGTGTGTGAGAGAGATGAGCACATGTGACTCAGTGGTAGATTTCAGAGGCAGGAGCTCTCTTTTTTTTATTTCCTTTTCTGGGAAAGGCCTATGAATGAGCTGGCCACCTAAGATATATTCCTATGACTATAAAAGGGCCTGCTCCTGTTTGGAGATTTTTAAAAAGTTTTCTCATCATTTGGATTTTTGATGTTGGAAAAAATGAGGTGTTGGGTGTCCTAAGGCCAGGGTGTAGAAGGGTTGGGCAGCACTCTTCTGGAACAGACTCACCTAGCACAAACCTGCTCATCTTCCTTGCTAGGGGAGGTATCTGGGTGTGAACTATGAAGGTGAGGAGTGGTACAGAACACTGCAACTATATCATGAACTAGTCCATCTAGTAATCTTTGCTTAGCTCCTGACCCTTCTAAGAAGAAATTATACATGATTTAAACTCTTATCACCTAGTAGAAAACCTAGTTGTGGGCCCCAGTCCTCTTGAATACTGAATTTGGTTGTCTATTTGTGTCAGATCATAGTAAGGAAGCCCATGTGTAGCCTTAAACTAAACCACCTCCTACTTTTCAAGTATCTGAAAGTTGGGCTAGCTTTATTTAGAGAAATTAAAAGCTCAACTTAATCAAAGGTGACAGTGGTAGTTATTTAAAATGCTTAAGAATCGATTTAGGGTCCTTAAGAGACTTAAGGAATCTGGTATTTTTAAAGCATGTTCAAGAGAAATCTGGGTAAAGACCAAGTGCTCACAAGAAAGAGTTGGGCTTTTAGAGACCAGGAATCATGCAAGGAATAAAACCATTGCATTTTTTGGTCATTTGTTGAGTAGCTGAAGTGAGAGATTTGGTTCTGATGTTTGACTGTCTAATCTGTATCTGGGAATGCAAAGTTAAAAAGAACCCATTTTTAAGTAAGTTGGGAGGATAACTTTGAATTGGGGGTGGTTGCTCTCCCTTCTTTTGTAGAATGCTACCAACCAGGCTCCCTAACTAGATGGGAGGCTAGATGATGTGAGCTGGTAAAGAATGGTAAATATAGTGTTCTGAAGTGTCAAGAAGGACTGAGCTTTTAGGATGTGATTGCAATGAAAAGTTTATGAATGTGTCAAAGGGATGGATAAATGGTCTCAAGTGATTTTAACTAGATAGCCTGATTTCTTGTTTTAAATCTTCTTTAAGATGCCGAGAAAGTACACCCTGGGATCTCCTCTTACTACCTCCAGTCCTCTTTTTCTGGTTTTGATAGTACCAGATATGTTTCATTTATTGGGGACTCAGTCTGCTGTCTCCATTGCTGGTTATACCAGTTACTCTGTGGGCATCTTCTACTGTCTTGTCTTCACCTTGTTTAAGCCTGGGAAGGAAGTTAGATCGTCAGTTCTTCCTGTTTTGTACTGTGCACCCCACCACACTAGATTAATTTAAAAATTAAAAAGAAATTATGAATAGTAAATTGGGAGGAAAAGGATTTGGGTTGGTTCCTTCCCCCTACAATTAGGTCCTTGGTTCTATGTTCCCATAGCACCTTAAACTTTCTCTTTCAGAATAATCATGTCCCTTGTAATTGTGTATCCTGCTTGACTACAAACTTGTTGAAGGTGAAAATTGTCTTGAACTTTGCTCCCAGCCTTAGAAAAGTGTCTGATACAGTGTGTTCTCAAATATTTTGTTGCTGTAATAAATGAATGAACAAAATAAATTTCCATTTTTGGGATTTACTGCTAGCCACCATGAGAAAATAAAATAAATATGAGAAAGAAAAAGAATCTAAAATTAGAGAACTAGTTCTATCAATTTCTAGTCTCTGCTTCAGATTCCCTTTGTGCTAAAAACCAGTTAGACTGGCAACCCCTACAAGCTGGTCCTCCTTCCATATTGGCCCCATCTTTACTCAGTTGTTATCTCTGAAGTGGTATCTGCAGACTGTGAAAAGAGATCTATGTTCCCATAGTTCCCTATACCTCTAGTATAGGCACCTTACAGCCCATAAATTTGGGTCATTTCCTCAGATACTTTGGTTTTCTCAAGAAAATTTTTCTTTTCATGGCATGGGTCACATCTCTGTCAAATAACACAATTTCTTACTAATAATCTGAATGAAACACCTCTGGATCTTCACTTCTCATTTGGTAGTGGGGATTGAACCCAGGGGTCCTTTACCACCAAAATACACCCCCAGTTATTTTATTTTGTATTTTGGGACAGGATTTGGGAAAGTTGATGAGGCTGGCCTTGAACTTGCCCTTCTCTTGCCTCAACCAGCCTGAGTAGCTRGGGTTACAGGAATATACCACAGCTCCCAGCTTGACATCTCATTTGAAATCATGAAACGGGATTCCTAGGATATGAACTCCATGAAGGTGACCGGTTTTATTTGTCTTGTACAATGCAATATTTTTGAAGCCTAGGAATATGCCTAGCACATATTCAGTCAATAATGACACCTTTACACCCTGCCTAGAAATATCTGCTCCATGGAGCTCGTCTATCAAATTTGATTTAGGGAAATAAAAGTTAAAAAAAAAAAAAGGTTTCCAGCACCACTCACAGCTAAGGATATTCTGCAAATTTCAGATGACTTGAGACACAATTTATTAGGAAACGWTGATATCCCCAGACACAAAGGGGGTTTATTCTTTTCCACACTTTTTACTGGTGCMTTATGGTTGTACACAATGGTGGGATTTCTCGTTACATATTCGAACATGCACACAATATAGCAATATAATTTGGCCAATATTTTTCACCAGTCTTTCCGCTTTCTCCCCCCTCTCCCCCCAGCGGCTCCCTCTCGGAGATAAGTGCTCGGTGCCCTGTCTGGCTTCCCAGTCAGGAGAGCACTCAGACTTCATAAACACAAGCAGAGCACACCCGGAAGCAAAATAAAGGCAAGGGCTCACAGTTAGTTTAAACAGGTACCTCTATCTTTAGTCCACTTCCGCCCCTCCCCTTTCCTAGAAGATGGGCGGGGCGGCTCCTGCCCGGCCGGAAGTGGCGGMGGCTGAAGGCAGCTCCCACTTCCGCCACTCTGTGGGGCTGCCTTGCCATTGGTTCATTGCGAGGAGCGCCTGAGGACTGGATAACATCACCAGAAAAGGGAGAAGTGGGCGGGGCTTGAATGGGTGCGCGTGCGCAACAGGTTGTTTTCGCCGGCCTAAAGCGGAGCAGGTTGCAAGGGTCCTCGCACTGGCGGGACTTCCAGTGTTGTGGCGGGGCGCGGAGAACTAGCCACCTTCCTGGCTGTGGGCAGGAAACCGGAAGAGGTCCCTGAGCCCGCGAACCTGAAGCGGAAGTGGAAGTGTAACGTTTGTGAGGGAGACAGCTACCTCACTTAACAAGTCTCTGTAGTCTCAGATGTGTGGTATGTGGGTGGGAGCCCATCTTCCCAGAGTGCTTGGATTACTGCCAAAAAGGGAAGGCAGGGTCAGCAAAAGTTAAAACAACCCTCATGCAGTTCTAGCCGATTCCATTTATTTAAATTTACCATTTTCTTTTTAAAAATTTTTATTTATTTTTTTACATGAGCTCTATTATTATTATTATTATTATTATTTGCATTACAAGTCAGTATTTTTATGTCACAGGATGAGGTGGTTGTTACAGTAATCAGTTGTTCTTGTGAAGAAAAGGGGAAGTTAGCAGCAAAACAGTACATTTGGAACCCAGAGCTCTGTCCCCAAAGGGCAGTTTTGGGTAAAATGTGTTGGAGTTTTGCCAGAGACTCTCTTGCCTTTTCTTAGACTAGAGCTCCTTAAGTTTAGATTTAGAGAATGTAATTGGTAATAGGTACAATTTAGAATAGAAGTCAGAGATACTAGAAGGTTTGAAAGACAAATTAGGGACCAAGGGATATTGGGTAGAATTGGTGATCCCATCTTGTCTGCCTTGGCTGAGTCTTCCAAAATAGAGGGAAGGACAAATAACTTTTGGAAAAATCTGTGAAACTTAATGGGAAGGCCCTTGGTAGGTTTCCTGTGTATGACTGCCTGGTGTTAATAATTCCCTGCTACCACTTTGTTTCTAGGCTCTTCCTCAAGTGTCTGGAGCTGAGATGCGACCCAGGAAGGGAACTGTGGCTAGCTAAGGAGTCAAAGCTTGATGTTACTTCCAGATCTCATGTCAACACTGAGCCCTCAATTACTGGTGGCAGTTGCTCAGCAGACCCTGGGCATGGGAAAGAAAAAGGGTCCACCTCGAGCCATCTGCCTTCACCTGGCTGGAGAAGTGCTGGCTGTGTCCCGGGGGCTGAAACCTGCTGTGCTGTATGATTGCAACGGTGCAGGAGCATTGGCACTCCAGAATTATCTGGAGGAGCTGCAGGGGCTGGGCTTTCTGACTTTGGGACTTCACATTCTTGAAATTGGAGAAAATAACCTCATTGTCAGCCCTGCACATGTATGTCAACACTTGGAACAGGTATTGCTTGGTACCATAGCCTTTGTGGATGTTTCTGGTTCCCAACCTCACCCTTCTATCTGTTCCCTGGACCAGCTTAAGGATTTGAAGGACATCGTGACAGAGATCATCACACATTTGAAGGGGCTGCAGAGGGATCTATCCTTAGGAGTCTCCCACAGCATGCTCCATTGCTCAGACTGGAATCTTTGTACTCTATTTGGGATCCTCCTGGGCTATCCTGTCTCTTATACCTTTCACCTGAACCAAGGAGATGACAACTGCTTAGCCTTGACCCCACTACGGGTGTTCAGTGCTCGRATCTCATGGCTGCTAGGTCAAACCTCAGTCCTGCTCTATTCCTTTAGTGTCCCAGAAATCTTGTTCCCAGCCCTGAGGGACACTCTAAATGTCTGGGAGAAGAACCTCAGAGCCCAATTTAGGACTCAGAATGACTTTGCTGACCTCAGCATCTCCTCTGAGATAGTCACACTGCCGGCTGTGGCCCTCTGACTTTAATTTTTGTCCTCCTATGTGGAAGGCATTCAGTAAGTGCTCATCTCTGGGTTGGGGGTGTCGAATAGTGATCATTTAAAGTGCTGGTTTTAAGTGCCTGGGGACCCTAGAGAAGAATGCTGTATTCAGCTGGCCACATCATGAATGGGAATAGGTAGTGGTGGTGGTGATGCTAGCATTAGTAATACATATTGGCCATGTCTATACTAGGAGGTCTTCTTTAGTTAACAGAGGTGTCTGTTCATTTTTCACTGGATAAGAGTTAGAAGGAAAGAGACAAGAGGGGGAAAGAAGGGTTGTAGAGGACAAGCAGTATACCTGTGTGTGGTATCCWACCCTGTGTAGATAGTGTCTTTAGAAAAGAAAGACTGGGTCCTTTCTGTATGTTTCTGTACCTCCAACTGAATTGGTCTAAGGGGAGTAGACCAGGATGCTTAAGTGCCACACTTGTAATATGTTATTTAGGAATAAACTGAAGATTCCAGGGAACAGTCTGGTGAGGTAAAGTTTATTTATTTAGGCTAAAAAAATTGAAGTCAGAAATCCCAATTCAGTTGGAGGGTAAACCCAAGCTGTAAAGTACCCAAACCTTCTGTGTTTTTCATTGAGTTGTTTGCTGCTGATTTTTACTCCAGGCAGCTGTCATAAGTTATTCAGATTCTCAGGTTATCTTTGTTGGCCAGGAATACTGCCAGTGCTATAGCAATCACCACCGTCAGGATGGGGAGCCACTGACCACATTGCTTCTGTGTGGAGGGAAGGGAGACAGAAGAAAGTAGCCATAAGTCACTTAGAGAAAATATGGGCAAAAGCACCCCTTCCTATTGTAGCCCAATGGAAGACCTTGGGTTGGTGCTAGAAAAAGCTTTTTACTTCACTGTCTCACTTTCTGTCACCTCTCTTGGGATAAAACCACTTTACTAGTGGTCCCTGACCCAGGGACCATGTCCAGTAGGGGCCAAACATTTAAATGCTGATGTGAAAAATTCAGGGTGGAAAATAATTCAGCAAAATAATATTATTCTCTTTGTATGCCTTAGTACCTTTGTTGTCCTTCCCTGTCCTTGACATCATGCTGGCAATAGACTAAAAGAACATCCTTTCATACTTGAGTTAATGCAGCTTGAGAATCCCTTACCTGAAATACTTAGGACCAGAAGTGTTTCAAATTTTGGAGGTTTTCAGATTTAGTAATATTTGCCTAGACTTTACCAGTTGAGCAGATCTCATGAAAAAAAAAAAAATCTGAAACACCAAATACTCTAAAATCTGAAACTTTTTGAACATCATGTCAATGCTCAAAAAGTTTTGTATTCAGAGAATTCCTATTTTTGAACATTCAGCTTAAAAATGCTCAGCCTATAGCAAATCTTTCCCTCAGGCCTTAAGAGTTCCACAGAAATTGGACTTGGATGCATGAATCAGTGTTTCATGACTGCTATACTTTCAGCATGGACTAAATCAAGCAGAATAGGCAGAGTATTCAGAGCATTTCTGATTTTGAACATTCAGCTTAGGGATGCTCAGCCTATAGCAAATCTTCCCCTCAGCCCTCAAGAATTCCATGGAATTGGACTTATGTACATGAGTCAGTGTTTCAAGACTGCTATACTTTCAGCATGGACAAAATCAAGCAGAATAGACAGGATGACTAGATATTGACATGTGCTGGCAAATTTTATCTGTAAGACTTGGCTAAAAAAGAAATCATCCCACCACCATTTGTACAGGAAGATGGACCCTCTTACTCTGGGAGGTGGCTGCTGGCTGTGGTTCAGCTCTTCTCGACAGTGCTGCAGCTTACGCATGCAGGAGAGGTACTCRTCACTGAGGTTGTCTAACTCCGAATGCAGTTCTCTGCACTGGGGAGAATATCATCGGAGTTATCATCATCAATTCTATCTTGAGACAGAACCCAGGAACGGGAGACTGTCCTGAGTAAGGTACTCCTTCATTCATTTTGAATGAACTATTCTCCCTTCCCAACCTTCCTCAGAAATTTTAGTTTGTACTGTCTCACTTGTTTTTCTCTGGAAAGTGTTCCTTTAAAAAAATTGATTGTACTGAATATATTACACTTTATATATTGTAAATAGTTTTATGTGACCAGCCGTGTATGTACAAGTGCTTTGTAAATGGGGAGACCCAAAAATGAAATTCTTAAAGCACAAAAGACTTCAAAGTATTATAAGTTTCTTTTCTGGGAGCTGATTGCTAATGTGTGCTTTTAGGGGTATATATGTATATCCATATGTATATATACATATATATGTATGTATGTATGTATGTATTTAGGAAAGCTTTTGCTATTGAAAAGATGCTGTGTAAGGCTTTAAGATATTCAGTGTGAGAAAAAGTTTGGGAAGTTAATATGTTTATCAAATGTGGGTTGAGGGTGTAGCGTAGTAGTAGAGTGCTTGCCTATCATTCAAGAGGCCCTGGGTTTGATCTCTAGCATTGCAACACACACACACACACACCCAAAATATATTTATCAGATATGTTTTAGTTTGACTTTCTGAAAGGTAACTGTTTAAACCTTAAGTAGGGAATAAATAAGGAAAGGAAAATATTGACAGGTCAGTACAAAAGCAGACATTTTATATGGGCAATGGAAGACCTATGGACATCCAATCACAATTTAAACACAATTTAATCCTTGCTGTCTGGCTGTTCCTAGCAGTTTTCTGTGCCACACATAGATGAGCTCATGATCCTAGGTTAATGGCTCACCTCTTTTTCCTTGGCCTGGAATTGCAAAGTCGTCTTCTGCAGCTGGTCTCTGAGATCCCAGTCTTTCTCCTTCCCTGCACTCTCAGGCTCCACTTCATTGTGGGAGGGCTTTGCACTACACACAGGCAAAGCCTCATCTAAAAAAGCAGCCAGATTCTTAGTGATAGGCCCACACCTATGAGGAAGGATCCTGTCACTGAGTAAGACTCCTAGGAGTAGGGGAARGGGAGGGAACAGGAAAGGCCTGACCTTTGGCTAGACTGAATGAAATGGAGTTCTCTGGCTTAAAGAACTCCTGATGGAACCCTGCTTAGCCTGAATGACACCTGGAATTTGAGCCCCTTGAGAGCAAGATTGGCATCTTACTTTGTATCCCCAGACCTGTCTGATATTTTTTAATGAATACTTATTAATTTAATTTTTTTTGTTGTATGCCACATGTTTTAATTTGTGAGGCAGGTTTTCTTTTCCCTTAAATCCTCATTTCAAAGTCCTGAAAATGACAGTCATATCCTAGAATTTATCTAATGTGGTTAAAGATGGGTTTTCAGCCACCTTGCAGTCTTGTGTGGATACCAGGGATAGAACTCAGAGACACTTGACCACTGAGTCAAATCCCCAGCCCCATTTTGTATTTTATTTAGAGGTAGGGTCTCACTGAGTTGCTTCGCCATTGCTGAGGCTGGCTTTGAACTCATGATCCTCCTGCCTCAGCCTCCCAAGCTGCTRGGATTACAGGCATGCGCCACCTGCTCCGCACCTTGCAGTCTTAGCTTTGGTGAAAAGAGCACTGGACTAGAAGTCAGAATTTCTTGATTATCTTAGCTCCGTCCTTGATTTGTGTGACCAGGGGCCTTTATTTTCTTATTCATCCTCTGTGGGTATAATGGTTTCTGCCTTTCATATTATACCCAGTGATTATGAGGAGAAAACAAAAAGCTATGTGTTATGGATAAGTGAGGAGCTATTATCCCCATGTATACATGATGAATTCTTTTCAGGAAGCTTAATCAGCAGACTAGTGCGAGATGACTCTTGCATGCTACGTGAATTGGGGCTGGGGAGTTGGATGTGATTTGGAAAATTAAGTGTGTAAGAATTGACATGAAATCCTGAGTTCAAAATCAATTTATTAAAATCTTCAACATAGACATGTTTTCAGAGAAAGTAGAAATTATTTTTCACAGCGTGTATACCTCTCCGGAGAGGAGGCTAACTAGTTAAAGTGTCCWCAGGGCCAGTGATCAGTCCTTAAAAGACTCACTTCTGTCCCTGACTCAACAGACTCCCAGAACTGAGTGGGACTCCAAGAGATCATATAGTCCATCCCCCTGCCTCTAGCAGGCAAGGAAAGAGCAATATCTTAGAATTTGTGGTAGTAAATTTGCTGACCTTTCTTTAAGAGTTTCTCCTGTTCTTGAAGCTGTAAGGATTGATTCTGAAGCAGACCTGTTGGAAAACACAAGAAACTTGTCTGTGCTACTGCAAAGAGCCTCTTTACAGACCTTTGCTTAGAACCTAGTTAATAATGTGCCTTTCTGTTATGAATTGAATTCTGTGCTCCCAAATTTATATGTTGAAATCCTAACCCCCAGAACCTCGGAATGTAACCATCCTTGGAGATAGAGTACAGGTAAAAATAAGATTGGTAAGGTAGGCCAAGTAACTGATCGAATAACTGATGTTGTAAAAAGAGGAAATTTGGACAAAAGGTAGCTTATGGTCATCTTCAAGCCAAAGAAAGAGGCCTGGAATAGATCTTTCCAACACAGCCCTCAGAAGGAACCAACTCTACTGAAATCTTGATTTTGGATGTCTAGCTTCTGAACCGTGAGASAATATTTTTCTTTAGTTTAGGTCACTCAATCTGTGGTACTTTGTTACAATTTTATCATCCTTTTCTAMTGTGTCTTTGTCTTCCAGGTCTCTGCTTAAATATTATCTCAGAATTAAAAGTCTCCCAGATGGCCCTACATACAATAGTGACTATTTTCCCTTTAGCCTGCTCCCGCCTCTATAGCAGTTATTGTAATTTGACGTACGTTCAATTTTTTCATACACTGAACTACACTTGTTTGTAGACCTTTTTTAGAATATAAGAGAGGGAGCTGTAAGTTTTGTTTGTTATTGTATCCTCACATTTAGTATGGATCAATAAGTGGTTGATTTTTGGAACCATTCCTAGTGAGATTTAAGTGGCACATTCATATACATAATAAGTTAGACTACATAAGAAAAGAACTATACTAGAAAACCCAGTGCTTTTAATAATCCATAATTATGGTAGAAATGCAAGTGGTTGTCATTGGCATGGAAGGAGAAAAGGAGAAAAAAAGAGTGGAGCCTGACAATATGTGAAAAGCTATGTAAGTGACTCCACGGAACAAGAAGTAGGTATAGAATGTACAGAGATAGGAGGATATGCCAGAGATTGGGCCCCTAGATCTTCCTCTGAATGAGTGTTGTGGAGCAGGACCCCAAGGAACACCAAAAAGCTTTCTTGAGAATCCAGAAAGGAAACTTACTCTGCAACTGCTGTATTCTGGTCATCAGGGCAATTTTTTCTTCCTCTGACCTCTTTAGTTTATCTGAAAGTGAAACAGTACAAACCAAAATAGAAGAACCCAGCTTAAAGAACAGAATACCTGAGTATGGAAAGGAATAATTCATGCTGACTTGTCTATGCATCTGATAAGTGTCAAATGGAATTTGCCCTGTCTTCTGATTGTCCTCAGTTCTGAAAAGGTAGACCAGGTACCCCATCAACAACCAGGGGTATGCATCAACAGTGTTGAGTTGGACTAAGGACTCTCTTTATACATTATCTGGTCCTTTTAGCAGACACGGGCTAACTTGGAGACCTTTATTCTGTCTTGTATTTGAACTGACCTTTCCTTTTCAGATTAGGAATGTGGTTCTGACACTTGTGACTAATATAGGAATGGCTGTCATTTGGCCCAGAGGATGGGCTGGAGAGAAAAGAGCTCATGCAATAAGATCCTCTAGTGTAGTAAAATGAATTTCCATCTTGGATGATTAAAGTAGTCCTGCCTTTCCCTCAAGGTAAAATGAATCATAAGGCCAAGCAAACAAATGAAGGCTGAGGCTTTTTCTCCTCGTAGCTTCCTTTCTCTAAGCTCACTCAGCCATGGTTCCTGTGCTCCTGAGGCCTCTAAGAATAGAGTACCTTGAAGGTCCTGGGTATCTGAGTTGCACAGATCTCTGTCCCCTTGCAGGCGTTCAATCTTGGCCTGCAGTTCCTGGTGCTCATTCTCCAGAAGTCGCAGGGCTTGGTTCATCTGTGAGTCTCTACTATCTGCTCCCTGAAAGGAGGAGGGAAGGGCCAATATAGAAGCAGGTCCCATGGAAGAGGAAAATTACTGAAAATTATAGAATTTTAGAGGTAGAGGAGTATTAGGGTAATGGAAAAACATGGAAGTGTGTGTGAGCCACATCCCCAGCCCTATTTTGCGTTGTATTTAGAGACAGGATCTCACTGAGTTGCTTAGCACCTCCCATTGCTGAGGCTGTCTTTGAACTCGCCATCCTCCTGCCTCAGCCTCCTGAGATATTGGGATTAAAGGCATGCCCCACTGTGCCCTGCCATTCCTCACATTTTTAACAGTGCATTAGACTTCTGGTATTTGCAAGGAACATATCTTAACACTTTGATAAATCTCAAAATTAAGTCATAGCAAGTCATATCTTTTCTAGATATTTTCACTTTCTTTTTACTTATCATTCTAGTCCTCTATCAAGTTTGTTTGTTTTGAGGATGGTAGAGCAATTTTTTTTTCATGAAGAATTAGGTTTAAGAAACTCAAACATCTTCTTAAGAATTGCCTTGTAGTTGACAGGAAGATAAGAACAACAGAGGTTGAGATGTGCATTTGGATAGTGTCATTCCAGTTGAGCACTTAGTTCATTTGCATGAATAGTGTAGGTATTCTTACTAAACTCAAAACTATCTCAGAACTCAAACAGGGAGTCTGGTACTAAGTGGTTAGTGACTGAGGAACTGAAAGCTAGATGCTCTGAGCTGCCCTTGGAGTCCCCAAGCTGGGAGCAACTTTTCTCACTACTACCCGCCTCCACCTTCCTGCTTTTCTTACCCCCAGTGCCTGTACCTGTAGTTTAGACTGAAGCACATGAAGTTGGCTCTCCAGCTCTCTGTGTTGGGTCCCGAGGGCCCTCCAGTCCTCTTTTAGAGACTCATATTGGTTCCTCCACTCTTCACATTTCTGCTCTGCCAGAGCCAGGGACCGCTGAGGGAGATCAGAGAGGAGAGGGTTTCAGTAGAAGCCTCCCGCACCAAGGCAACAGCTTGGTGGAAAGGTTGCAAAAGCACATTGTACCCCCTCAATTGTGTATTGTAGATTAATAAATTCTAGGTGTATTTATGAGGAGAAGGTTCCAGGAATTTGTGTAGCTGGGCCCCTTTCTTCGTAGAGCTGCCCCCGGATTCCTAGTCCCAAGAACTGTGCAGCATCCCCACCTGTGTGCTCTGCAGTTGCTGCTCTGCACTCATTTTCTCTTCCAGCACTTTTTGTAGTGATTCTTTGGCCTTCTGCTCATAACTGTTTTTCTGGTCTTCCATCTCCATTAGCACCTTTTTCATTCCCCAAGGGGAGTATTTCTGTAAATTTGATGAAGTTCAACAGTTATACATTGAGCTTCTATGTGCCAAATTCTGAGCTGGGATACAGAAATGAAAATTTGGTCTTAAGGTGGAGACACTAGTGATTTGGTTGGAGCTGAGCACAGAGTCAACTCAGGTGATCTGAGAGGTGAGTGCCATAGGATTTCTGTTCATTGTACCCTAGGCCTTGTGCAGGCTTTTGGAAACCAACATGTCCAAACAGAACTCCTATTTCTTTCTTTTTTTTTTTTTAAATATCTTTTAGTTGTTGATAGGCATTTATTTTATTTATTTATAGGCAATGGTGAGAATCGAACCCTGTGCCTCACACATGCCAGGCAAGTGTACTACCGCTGAGCCACAGCCCTAGGCCTAACTTTTATTTCTTTACCAGCTCTTTTCTCCTGAGTTTCCTAGCTCAGTGATCAATATCCTACCTACCCACTCTCCCAAACTCTAAACCAGGGAGTCCTCTTTAATTTTTCTCTTTCTGCCAGGAATTATTTGGTCTTTGAGCCTTGTCAAGTCAACTTCCTGAACAGTTCATACCTGTCTCCTCTATATTCCTACTGTTAACTTTCTTAATTCAGATTCTAATAATTCTATTAAATGGGTTAATGCAATACTTTCCCTATCTCCAAGTCTTGCCCTTCTTCAGAACTTTTTTATGGATTCTTTTTAATACACAAGTCTGATCATGGTACTTGTTGTGTAAATCTCTTAGTAGATCCTTGATCTCCTAATGATCAGGTCCAAACTCCTTGATTTGCATACTTTCCCTTCATGCTATCTCTGCCCAAAGGAAACTGCTTACAGATCTCCTGAGCATTGCTTTTTTGGCCTTTGCCATTGCCCAGATAGGTTATTTTGGCTGGAGCCTCCTTACCCATCTTTTTTTCCTGGCTAAACTCACTCACACTCAAGATTTAGTCCAAGTATCATCAGTTCTGATGATAAATCTTCACTAACCATACACCATTCTCCAACTCCAGGTAGCTTTTCTTAATGTTTACATAGTATTCTCTGTATGCCTTCATTATTTCAATTCATCAATTCATCTTTCTTCCTTACTGGATTGTAAATTCCTTAAAAGCAAGGTACATGTTACTATTTCTTTAAAAAAATCTTTATGGCTTCTGATCTGAGAAATCCAGAGTAGACTCAATTAATGCTTTTAAAATTAGTGAATTTAGATATTGAAATTATTCCTGGCTTCAAGATCAACAACAAGGCATAAGAACAGGGGCTGGGATTATGGCTCAGTGGTAGAGTGCTTGCCAAGCACGTGCAAGGCACTGGGTTTGATCCTCAGCACCACGTATAAATAAATAAGATTAAATGTATTGTGTCCATCTACAACTAAAAATATATTAAAAAAGACATAAGGGCAGATTTGTAAATTCACTGGAMGTGAGTTCCCTTCATTTCTGTGTGCTATGATTTGGTGGAAGACAGGCAGCTTTCAYTGTCAATTCTGGACTACTCATGGGAGAAACAGAAGTCCAGATAATGAAAATTTAGGCATCAATATGAATCATTTCCATTGACCTTTGGAAATGTCTGAAAATTTGGGCTTATATATGAATAGGTCTTATGTCTTTGGACTTTTTATTTAAAATAGGTCTTAATATTTTTGGAATTTTTGTTTCATATATGGGGGATGTTCCAGTTATTGGACTTATCATACTGGTGACTGGCTAGCTTCAACCCCATTGAAAATGAACAGGCTGGCATTCTGGGTTATATGTCAGACTCTTGGGAGCTTGATTGGCATTATTTAGTTTAGAAGAACCTAACAAAGCAGGCCAGTTTGAAGAAAACAAAATTTGTGGACCAGAAAACCTATGGACTATATAAACTCTATTCTGGAAGACCCCAACTATACAGCCAAGACTACCTTACCAAATTCTAAATCAGGCCAAATTGGGCTGGGGTTGTAGATCAGTGGTATATATTTGCCTAGCCTGTGTGAGGTACTGGGTTCAAACCTTAGCACCAAATAAATAAATAAACAAATAAACAATGACATTGTGTCCATTCACAACTAAAAATATTTTTTAAAAAGGGATTAGGCCAAATCAAGAGATTGCTGAAACTGGATAATAATGTCACAGAAAAGCCAAGAGTCACATTCTTACTTTCTTGCAGAGGTTATTACTAGAAGAAAGTTGGTCCTGGAATGAAAATAATTTTATGAAACTTCTTTATAACATGCAACTCATCTGTTCAAAGATTGGGACCTGTGAAGGTTAGCTGGGGTGTTGTGATTATTTTTTACTGAGCCTCTCCCTACAGTTTTAGGTATTTTCAAGGTTCCTCTGGAGCTAACAATAGAGCTAACAATAGCTAACAATAGAGCTGATATTCCTTTACAGGATGTAAAAGGAAAGATACTGGGAGAAAGGTGCAGATAGTGATATGGCAAATTGGTACCAAGTATGGTACTAACATGAAAATGGTCAAGCCAGAACTGGGTAAAAATAGGTATGTTAATTGCTATTTGGTAACATTTCTGGAAAACAGGATTGAGGTTCAAGCATTCTTCTCATTTAATTCTAGATTCATGAGCTGGAAGTATCATTCAGAATGCTTACCTGGGTACAGGTATAGAGTTGGTTTTCCAAGGACCTTAGTTTGCCCTTCAGTTTGTCCTCATTAAGCTGTCCCTGAAGCAAATGGGAAGAGGAGTTAATAAACTGGGGCCAAAATATAGTCTGCAAAGAGATTAACTCAATATTTCTAGCCCACTACTCAACATATAGTCAGTACTCAAACATTTATGGAACAGTTCTTTTAGGAGGTTTGGGCAGAACACAGATGACAAAGGAATGGGGTAGAAAAGGATCTTCTTTGGGAGGCTAAGGCAAGAGGATTGAAAGTTGGAGGTTAGCCTCAGGAACTCAGTGAAATCCTGTCTCAAAATAAAAAATAAAAAGTCTAGAGATGTAGCTAAGTGATAGCCCCTGGATTCAATCTCCAATATGGAAATAAATTTTAAAATAAAAATAAAAAGAAGGAGAAGTAAAAGATCTTCTTCTCTTTCTCTGGGGTAGGACAGGATGCATCAAACTGGTTCCCCAAATCCTCTTTTACCTTGAGGTTCACCATCAAATGGTCTTAGGGTATTATAGTAGGGGGCCACTGGAGGGAATGTTTCTAAGCTGTCCTTCCTTTCTTTCTTCCATTACCTCCCCCCTCACCTCATCTCAGTTTTGTACCTGGACTTTACTCATAAAGTATAGGCCAGTAAGGCTAGAGGAGGAATCTTTATTCTTTTCCTTATTCCCCCAAATTTATATGTTTAAGTTCTAACCCTAAGTACCTAAGAAGGTGACCATATTTGCAGACAGAATCTTTGAAGAAGTCATCAAGTCAAAATGAGGTCATTAGTTGGGCCCTAATCCAACATGACTGGTATCTTTATAAAAAGAGATCAGGACACCAAGATATACCAAGGAAGATAATGTGAAGACAGAGTGAAGATGGCTATCTGCAACTGAGGAGAGAGGCCACAGGAGAAACAACTCTGGGGACACCTTGATCTCAGACAAGTCTCCAGAACTGCAAGAAAATGAATTTCTGTTGTTGAAACCACCCAGGCTGTAGTATTTTGTTATGGCATCCTTGAAATACAATCATTCRTTAGTGTCCACTGGGGATTGGTTTCATGTTTCCTCCTCCCTCTGGGATGCCAAAATCCACGGATAGTCAAGTCCCTTATGTAAAATGGTGTAATATTTTCATATAACTTGTGCAATCCTCCCWTATACTTAAAATCATCTCTAGATTGCTTATAATGTAAAAGCTATGTAAATAGTTATTACTGCTGTATTGTTTAGGGAATACTGACAAGAAAGACAAGAAAAAGTTTCTGGATTTTTTTTTTCAATTAGTTTTGATCTGAGGTCAGTTGAATCTGAGGACATGGAAGCTGCAAATAGGTAGAGCTGGCTGTACTAATGCACTCTCTATAGCATACACGTACACACGTACCTATGACTCAGAATGAGAGATTCTTTAAGAAAGCAAGAAATGGAGGGAGAGAGATTAAAACAGGATGGGGGCAGGGCAAGGTACGAGTACTTCCCAGAAAGTCACATTCTATTTCTTGACAAGCTGGGTCGGTCTTATGGCGTTTATTTATGTATTTGTTTATTTACTTATCTCCCTCTCCCTGTCCTATCTCCCTCTGCCTCTGCCTCTGCCTCTTCCTCTGCCTCTGTCTCTCCCTCTCCTTCTCTGTCTCTCTTTCTTTTTGGTGGTGATARAAATTGAACCCAGGGCCTTCTGCATACTAGGCATCTAATGGCACTTTGGACATTCCAAGGGGGATTCTGATCTCAAGGCTGGGAGTGGAGAAAAGTGGGCAGAAAGGGCCATTCTGTTTTTCATTTTGTTAGCATTTTAGCAGAGTAGTTAATGGTTTCCTTGTTGCTTTGTAGGCTTGCGACTTTTTTTCCAGGTTGCAGCTTTGTTCTTCTAGACTTGAGTTTTAGTTCAGGTATATCTGTCCAGGGGGGTGGGGAGTACCATCAGTGATGGCAGGTTTTCCGGAGAAAGGATCATGGGCCTCTTCAGAAGTAACTGGTTTCCATATTCTTTTTCTGATTTTTTCCATCCACGCCCTGGGGGACACTTGGGGGGGTCTTCAAATTCCACTTCTCTTCAGGTCTGGGATGCTGTGGTCCATTTCAATTAGACAGCTTGGATGTTTCTCTGGAAACCTCATAGTGTTTCCAGTTTATAATGGTCTAGGGCCCAAGACAGGATCTCTGTTATGAGGTCTGCCACCCTGGATGAGTGTCAGGGTGCCTTGGGGGAGGCAGGAAGTGGTATCTCACAGCTCCTGTTTTGATCTTGTTTGGCTGATTCTTCTAACCATTGGGGCCAGGGGGTGCCCCCACCCTTTCTGCTTCCTGTGTTACTCAGCTGGGCCTTGCAAAAGCAAAAAACATTGCCAAAAATAATTTTTTAAAGTGCCTCCTGCTATTAATGTTTTTCCCAATGTCTCATGAGAGAGAGAGCCAAGAGTCAGGGATTTGGCATCTACAATAACCACAGGGCTTTGGGACAGATAAAAGAGATGGATGAACACTTCTACTCTTTGGGTCTTGGAGTAACTGGTAAAATAGCCTCATTCCCCAAAGTGGCCTGTGCATTGAAAATCCACAGGCCCTGAAATCAACTGTCYGCATACCCTACTCCCCTGTTTAAGATCTTCTAACTCTGTGCATTTTTATTGCCTACACTCTTACTCTGTAGAATGTCATCAAACCCACCAAGTTTAAAGATTACCTTTGATAGTTTGGAAAGAAAACAGGCCCAAGGCAGTATTCCTAAAATTTCCAGTCTCCTCTTCTTTTTGGTAGTTCCTTTCTCCCAGTCCCACAGTATGGCTTTAAATCAATATTTCGTCTCTTGCAACTGTTTTTGCATYTTAGCCCAACACCAAATTACTTTTCCATTCATGTTGCAATACAAAACAATTCATGAGAGCCCCTTCAGTGGGGATGAAGGGCCACCCAAGTCCAGGGCTTGACCAAAATATCTTGTCTACAATTCTGCCTTCCCAGACTCCCTAAGGCAGGCAGGAAAGTTGCAGCCAAGTTGTTGCAAATGGACCATGTAAGTTTCTTGGTCTGAGCCCCAGTTCTCCTCACGTTGAAGCCCAGTATTACAGTATGTGGGAAGAAGCATTTCTTACAGGCCCATTGCTGACCTGGGCTCAGAGAGCACAGTTACCCGCCTGCCCCCCCCCCCCATAGAAAAGGGAGCAAGGTAGAGGCCATACACACCTGGTGCTGGTCTGAGGGCTTCTGCTTCTGCTTGTGCTTGGTTTTCCCCTGCCTCTGATCTGTTCCTCAGAAACAACACCACCTCACCACAGAAGTACCAGCCCACGTTCATCTGTCTGCTTTAGCAGAGCTCGCTTGGGGCTTGTAGCCAATCCCCTGCTGTGCTGTCATCTTAAGATCTTGATTCCACTTTGTAGATGTCTTTCTTTTTCTTTTTCTTCTTTTTTTTTTTTTTTGGTATCAGGGATTGAACCAGGGGTACTTAACCACATCCACAACGCTTTTATTTTTTATTTTGAGATGGGGTCTTGCCAAGTTGCTTAGGGATTTGCTAAGTTACTTAGGACTTTGGTAAGTTACTGGGACTGGCTTTGAACTGGTGATCTTCTTGCCTCAGCTTCCCGAGAGGCTGGGATTACAGACAGGCATGTGCCACCACACTTGGCTAACCTTGCAGATCTTTTATTATTTTTGTTTTATTTCTGATACTGGGGATTGAGCCCGGGGGCACTTTACCACTGAGTTACATCCCAGTTCTTTATTTTTTATTTTTTTTTACTTTGAGATTGGGTCTTGCTAAATGCTGAGGCTCTTGCTAAATTGATGAGACTAGCCTTGAACTTGTGATCCTCTTGCCTCAGCCTCCCACATTGCTAGAATTCCAGACATGCACCACTGCTCTGGGTTCYACTTTGTAGATCTTAAAATGCAAGAGTTCCCTGCTTTCATTTTTTTATATTGCCCAAAGTTGAACTTTCTCTACTGGCTGATCTGCTTCTGCTCTCAAGGTTTGGACCCAGCTCAGTGTTCACAGCTACACTTCAAGACTGTGTTATCCCAAAGGCTCAGAATCAGCTTGGAGGTGGAGGCAGACAAAGGTGCTGATTCTTAGGGTCCTAACAGAGAATTTTCTGTGAGCTTCTCTGCATGTGAAGTTGGAGATTCAAATCACGGAGGCCAAATGGAAAAAAATAAAGTGTGTACTGGGCTGGATGTCAGAGTCCCAGTTCTGGACACATTCATCCAATTATTTTCCTCAAATACTAGACTGGTACTATCCTTTCACTGAAGTTGAAGCTGTCATGGGATGGATAGAGAACTGAATTATCTTGTTTTTGGGAATGCAAAAGCCTTCAATTGAACAGCCCAAGACTGTTTTTCTTAAAAACAGGAAGCTTCAGGCTTGGGGGTGGGGACGGAGAAGAGAAGGTGAAGATTGGGAGGGGTGGGAAGAAGGAAAGGAGAAAACCACAGCCAGAGGAACTTCTGCTCTTGGGCTGTAGCAAGGAGTAAAAGTCCCCCCTCGGAGACTATGTCAGAAATGTTTCTTAATGTATCTTCCCCATTCCCATCAAACTTTCTCTAATTCAAAYTCTTTAAGTGTGACTTACCTGTGCTTTTACAAATCTCCATCCCCACCACCCACATCCAGAGCCAGGTCCTTGTCAGATAATCTGTTGAACACAGAACTTATCATTCACTTTCAATTCAGTTCCACAGATAGAGATGAAGTTCCTTCTAAGTTTGGATAGACACTGTTCGGTGTAGGACTTTAAACCCAAATAARATATAGTTACATTGCTACCCTGCTTCTTGCCTGTAACAGTATTTCTCAAACTAGTGGTAGTAGGCCTTTTTATAGATCTCTGAGATAACACACAGAGACATGCAGCCTGAATCTAGATATGTATATATCTTTCCTTTAAAAAGGGGTCCATACATAATATTGTTCAACAGTAATAATTCTAGAAACCTGCTTAAGGTCCTTTCTTTGGTACTGCTCTGATATTATCCCTTCATTTTAGCCACACCCAATGCTCTTCCATTCCTTTATCGTTTTTAAAAAAATATTTTTAGTTGTCGATGTACCGTTATTTTTTATTTATTCATATGTGGTGCTGAGGATCAAACCCGGTGCCTCACACATGCTAGGCAAGTGCTCTGCCACTGAGCCACAACCCCAGCCCCTGATTCCTTTATCTTATGCACCCTTTTTCTTTCTGCTTTTTTCCCTATCTGCACTCTATTCTGTACTGGTGAACTCCTGCTCATCCATTAGGACTCAGCCGAGCTGTTCTTTTTGCTGTGTGGGAAATTTATTCTGATAGAATAATTATTTTTTCCTCTGTATCATGTTGTAAATACTGCTGTTGCAGCCTAGTCACACTATTTTGGAGTTACTTATTATGTTTGCCTCTTCCTGGCTAGACTCTGAGCTCCTTAAGAACAAGGACTTGACTTCTTTTGTTCCTGAAACCCAGAGCCCAGCACAGAGTAGGAACTTATCAAATGTCTGTTGCACAAATGAGTGAGATGATCTTAATATAGGTCAGCACTGGAAACCACCTGGCACGCACAGCTGTCTGCCCCAGGCTCCTATTCTGCAATGAAAATTATTTCCTTAGCAAGCAGGAGCTCTGGTCACAGACTCCCAGATCCTGGTTTGATGAGTGACATGAGGAGGAAGGGCTGAGCTTAGGAAGTATTTTGTATCACTGCAAACTTCTTAGCTATGTCCTACACCCTCCTGATATTTTCCTCTGTGGAGATGAAAGCCATCTTCCTGGTAGGGCGAGGTTCCTGGAGGCTTGTGAGGGCTCCTTTCTGTCTCACTGTCCATAGTGTTTTATACTCTGGTGACATTGAACTCTTTATTATTCCCTCAATATACAGATTTCAGAATGAAGTTGGAGGACCATGGGAATCTTTGAGATCCTTTCAAGGGATGAGCAAGGGATCTTTTCCAATGAAATGTCTGTGTGAGTCTGAATATTTTCCATATACTTCAATCAAAAGAATGTATTCCAACAAATTGAATTTAGAAGCAAATAAGAAAATTTAGCTGTCTTTTGTTCAGCTAGACATTAAAAGGGTTTACAAAAGTGTAAAGCAATGCCACTCTTATTTTTTTGTTTTTTGAAAACATGTTTTTTAAATAAAGAATCTGTAGTTTAAGTTAGCATGCAATGGTTTACTATTATTATTTTAAAATTAATATTTTTAAATATATTTCATTTTTTTTGAGGTACTGGGGTTGAATTCAGAGATATTCTACCACTGAGCTACATTGCCAACCAATTTTTTTTTTTTTTTAATTTCCATACAGGGTCTTGCTAAGTTGCTGAAATTGGCCTGAAACTTGTGATCCTTCTGCCTTAGTCTCCCAAGTCTCTGGGATTACAGCATGTGCCATTGTGCCTGGCTATTTCTCATATCTTTGTATTGTTTATGCATTTGCCTCTCATAGAAAACCATGAGCTTTCTAAAAGCAGGAGCCTTGCCTAAAGAATCTTAGGATGTCCACTGCTAGTCCAGTCCTCACTAGGAAAAACATGATCTATGAATATCTGTGGAATGAATGGATTAAAATTAGAGGCCAGAACTTTAGTTCCAGTTCTGTTACTAACTAGCTGTGTGACTTTGGACAAATCACTTGGCCTCTCTCAGACCCAATTTCCTCATGGAAAAATAAGATTAAGCTAGATCATCTCCAAGGTCCCATCCCATTCTGACATTCAGGTCTATGCTGAGTAGTGGGTACAGGCTGGCTTGAATGAATATTTGTGTGGATCCCCTATAAAAACCATTTGATATTTACCATATTCAGTAATACAAGCTATACTGGGAACTTCCTTATGTTCTTCCTACAAATTAAAAAAAATGGACCTTCTTGCTATTTTTGGTCCCAAGTCTTCCCAGTGAATATAGCAGCATGACCTTCAGTTGAAGACCCATATCATTAATTACTGTGACCTGCTTGACTTCTAGGTCTGAATACTATATCCTCCACTTTCTGCCTTTTCTTAGTTTACTCCTGAACAGTGAGACCATTCCTTCTTTTGCAGGATGATTTGGAAAGAAAAATGAGATGGGCTCACGTAGATGCCCACATGAACTCTTTCAAAACAAGGATTTTTATTCCCTTACCTTCCAAGAGCTGTCAGAGGCCCGAATCAGGGTAGATAGCAGGTCTTGGAGAATCACCATTTTCTGCTTTAGGACCAATTCCCTTTGTAGGGCCTCCTGGGGTCGGGGGCAAAAATGCACGAAATAAGATTAACCAGGAGAGAGAGTAGTAGATGGAGAAGCTTAGCAGAGAGGTCACATGCCACTTACTTTGAGGTACTCAGAAAGTTGGATGATTTCCTGGAGAGAAAGAAAAAGAAAGTCCCTTGAAACCATGGATCATAGAACCAAAATCTGGGCTGGCTTGTGTGGAGCTAACCTCTTCTTCACTGGGTCTCACAGAGGCCCACTATGTCTATGCTAATTACTCCATTGCCAACCTACACCCCTCTCAGTTTATCATGGAATACCAGAGTGTCAGAACTTAGACACCATCTGATTCAACCCCTTCAAGATGAGGATGTGCTTACCTTATCCAGAACTGCGACTCCATAACTGAGAAGAGAAAGGGAAAAAAAAAATTACAATGGACCAAAGAAGCAAGTCAGGAGGCAGTGAGTTGATTCCTTCTTCCCTTCCGAAGAGCCAATAGAGCAGGGAAAGGTCCCTTCGTCTTTTTTTTTTTTTTTTTTTTTTTTTGATACTGGGAATTCAACCCAAGAGCGCTTAACCACTGAGCCACACCCCCAGCCCATTTTAAATTTTTCATTTAGAGACAGGGTCTCGCTGAGTTGCTTAGGGCCTCCCTGAGTTGCTGAGGCTGGCTTTGAACTCACAATTCTCCTGCCTCAGCCTCCTAAGGTGCTGTGGCCCTTCTTTTTAAATTAAGGTAGACATGGATATTTGTTGTGTTCTTTCTTCACTTTACAGGGTGAAGGTATTCAAGTAAAGTTTAGAAGAGAAGAGAAAATGAAATTTGATGGGGCCCAGCATATCTCTCTTTCTCTCTCTCTCTCTTTGCTGTGTGCCACGTGATGATACAATGAGAAGGGCCAGGAACATGAAAGGAGCTCACCTGGTTTGCTGACTGGCGTCATTCTTAATTGTTGGCTGTGCCTCTTCTGTCTTTGTCTGAGTACCTGAGAGATGGAAGAGAAGGTGATTGAGAATCCACTGGGAGGAAGTGAAGGAAGTGGGGAGGGAAAAGGATTTTTCACTGCTGATGACCTGAACTGCTGTGGCAGAATTCTGTGCTCTGTCATTGAGTGAGGGAGCTTTGTCTTACCACGATGGTGTTTGTGAGGTTTCTTGATGGGAGAGTCTTGTGGTGGAAAGGCCCTTGCCTGTGAGGAGTGGTGGTCAGCCCCAACCCTCTGGACACTTGAGAGAGGGTGATGTGGGGTTGGAAAGACATTGGTGTTGGTCCCTGTCACCTGAAAAACAAGTAAAGGCTGCTGAAAACCACTTTTTAGAGCTTCTTAGGAAAAGATTCTCCAGATGATTGTAGAAAGAGGAGCCAATGATCGTGTCTGCTGTAGACTGAAGGTGACCTAAAATTCATGTTGAAATTCTATTTCCTAATGTGCTGGTATTAGGAGGTGGAATCTTAGGGAGATAATTATGGATAGTAGCCTCTCCAGGAAAGGCAAATGGGGAGCTGCAATTGTCTCCAACCAATCACTGRTTTCAGCCATTTACAACAGCCAGGGTGGTGATGTGGAAAGAGAGCTGGACTGAATGGGGAGGGAGACATGTGGGTTCAGATCCTGCCTTTTCTACGTATCAGTCTCCTGTCTATATAGTGAGTTTCTAGAGATGGATTTCTTCCTGTGAGTCATAGCTGTGGAATTGCTGAGGTGTGAAGGGAAGGTAAAGTTGGGAGTTGAAGGAAGGAGTGCAGCAATTGTAGTCACAATTTAGTCTCCTATTTTTGTATTTATTTTTCCTCAAAACTRAAAAAGTTGATATTGATAGTAAAACACAAAAAGAACAAGATGCTGGGTGAGGTGGTTCACACATGTAGTCCCAGCTACTTGGGAGGCTGAGGTGGAAGGATCACTGAGCCTAAGAGTTTGAGACTGGCTTGGGCAACATAGGGAGATCCTGTCTCAAAAAGTACTCCTCAAAACGAAAACAAAACCAAGCAAACCACAGCAGTATAAAACGAAAAGAACTAAGAAAAGTCATGTAACTAATTCAATCTCAAGAAAACATTTAAAAATTGATAGGCGGAGGTAGAATTCTTTTTTTTTTTTTGGTGCTGGGGATTGAAACCAGAGCCACTGAGCCACATCCCCAGCCTTTTTTATTTTTCATTTTGAGACAGGGTCTTGCTAAGTTGCTTAGGGCCTCACTAAGTCACTGAGGCTGGTTTTGAACTTGCAATCCTCCTGCCTCAGTCTCCCAAGTTGCTGGGATTACAGGCATGTGCTGCTACATCCAGCCTTAGAGGTGGAATTCTATAGATAATTGTATTTTCTGTTCTCATATTTTTCTTCCCCCAAAGTATTCAGAAACCTTCTTGACTTAGAAAAGGTAGTTGTTTCTCTTTGGCAACTGGGCTCTAGAATCATTTCTCTGAATAGCACCTCCAGTTGAGCATAACAAATYCACTATTAAGAAATCCCGACAGAGCACCTACTCTGCCCGGGCATGGCACCATGCCAGGCATTTCCAGGAAACACAGTGGACCCGTTCCTCCTATCAATGTGTGCACAACATAGGTAGGAAGACAGAGATGGTTTGATGGCTGAGGTTATCTCAACAGACCCTGATTTTTTGCCAGCACTGCTCTTTTCTGGGACAGAATAATAGACTCTCTATGAGTTATGTAATCRTAGAGGATTTATAACCTCTCAGACCCACAGAGAGCAGAGGTGGCCTGGAGAAGCTAGAGAAGGCTTCCTGGACTAGATGAGTGAGGCCTCAGTTTAGTGAATTTAGTAGACTTGTCATGTTGCAAGAGAAAAAGATGAGTTGGGCAAAAGCCTCACAGAATAGAGGATATGTGTGTGTGTGTGTGTGTGTGTGTGTGTGTGTGTGTGTGTGTGTTTTGGGAGAGAGTATCAAGAGGACAGGCGTGGGTATCTGGCATATAGTAGGCATTCAGGGAATCTCTGATGAAAAAAATGGATGAATGAATGCTGTAAGGTAGCTGTAGAAAATATGTATAGATTCCACGTATGTGGAAGATAAGTACAGATGGCTGAAATTTGAACTGATACTAGGTAATGGCTATGAAATTGTCTTAAAATTTATTTTCTCTCTCCTCAAAGGCAAATGTGAAACAAAAAAGAGCTAAATGTGAAACAAAAGCACTAAAACTAAATCTCTGAATGAGTAAGTGGCTAATGGAGACTTGACTTTATGACTAGAGAAGAAAGGATTTAGTTTAAATCCCACCCCTTGGTATGACCCCTACCCCCACAAAGCAGTGTGTCCCTGGACATGGCCCACCTGCTGTCCTGGAAAAGAGATCCTGTTAGCAGACAAGGCCTCCTTGAGGACAGCTGCCTGGCCTTTCTTGCTGGAGGGAACTTGCTCCCTGGCCCAGGGACGCTGAGCCTGGCCTTTCTCTTCCACTTCCAGGTTCCTCCTCCTGAAGAACTGCAGTTGTCGAGCTCTCTGGAGCTGCTCTCTGTGCTGAGTCCTTAGTGCCTTCCCCACCTGGCGGCAAGTAGTCACGTTGGGGCGACAGCGGCGACTTTCACGGGTCTCCTGCCGGCGCTCACACTTGGCCTCATAGCTCTCAGCCCACCGGGCCAAGGCAGGGGAGGGCCTGGGGTCTGGGCTGATCATGATGACCTCTGAAGCACCTGTTGTGCTTGGCTTCCAGTTCCTTGAATAGCTGCCTGGATCTGCCAAATGCCAAGAGGGAGGAGCCAGAAGATGGGCAGAAAAATGACTATCTTCCCAAATCAGGGGGCAGAAATAGCACAGGGCTCTATCCTGTGGGTTGAAAACTGAGGATGAAGTGGTTTCCCACTGGGAGTCAGGACTCCTGTGCTTAATCCTTAAGGTACTCATAAAAATCTAACAAAAGCAATTTCCTGCTTCTAGCCTGTGTCCCACCTCTGTAAAGTGCACTGCCCCCTTCTTCCTCGACTAAACATATCACTATTCTCTAAGTCAGAGGAACTTTATAAACAATTGATAAAAATCATAATAAATTGATAGCCTCTTGAATAGCAGGTGTGTTTATTTTCTAGACTTTTAGAGAAATTAATTTCCCCTTCTTTCCTACTAATCTAAAAGGAAAGTGGGCCTCTTGGCCTAAGTTGTTACTAAAATAGAATGATACTTCTCCTGACCTGGAGGGATAAAAATGCCCCCTCAGGAAGTGATCAGGCCTGGGACTGACACCCACTGCTCCCATCTTAGCCCTTAGCAACCAACTTGTGGGCCCAGACCTTGTGTGTTTTAGGAGGGAAGCCTACCCTAACTCCTCCATCATGCCATCCTGATGTTGTTCCACTGGCGTCTACTACCCCATGGCTGGGACTGGGCCCTGACTCTCAGGTGCAGATCAAGTCAAATCAGTATTGGCTGAGCATCTCCACATGCCCAGTATCGACCCACTTCAGAGCATCTGAATTAACATCTCTTGGAGATGAGAGTTACCACTCTTTTTAGGGTCACCTCCCTTTCAGGGTTGTCTGTTGTCAAGTTTGCTTTCCTAAGCCCGGATGCAGGTTGTGCCTTCTAAACCAGTAAGCACATGGATTATACCTCATAAAGCTCCTCTAAACAACAGAGAAATAAAACAAACATGCAAAAGCAGTAACCCAAAGTCCCCAGGGAACAAGAGGCCACCTTTGATATCCCTCCACATGGCCTTGCCTGCTGTCCACATAGTACCCAAACCCTAATCCCCTCTTCCTTCCTGTGCCTCTCTATCCTACTCTCCTCTACCTACCTTCTGTAAATTTGTTTATTCTCCTAGAAATCGCTGGTAGCTTTGTTGAGTTGGGAGTGGAATTGGATGAGCTGGTTTCTGAGCATCAAAAATTCTGTGCCCTGCCTCCTCTGCTCCCTGGAGTCAGACCAGGCACTGATGAAGGAAGAGGTACTCCCCCTCACAGCTGCTGCCTCTTCTCTCCGACTCATGACTTCATTACCCACGACCCTGGGAACGTAGTTCCTGGGTGGGTCAGAGGAGAGGAGCTCAGCTTCACAGGCCAGTAGGCATTTGCCAGCTTTGGCTCTTTGGGTTTATTTATAAGCCAAACAGACTCAACAGGTAGCAGCTTCTCTGCTCCTTTGTTGGGACTTCACTGCCCATCCCGGCTCAGTCTGGAGTTCTGCAGGTTTTGTTTCTCTTTCTGTGATCACAGCACTCATTCCCAGGGGACATGGTGGAGCATTATCACTCTCTGGAGGGGTATTATGTAGCCATGCCTTGGGTACTCTCAAATGCCTGACTTGAGGGCTGGAGGGGCACAYTCTGGCCTTGGGCACTGCTGACCCTAAGAAGAATTGTGAAGTTGTCAATATTTATCCTCTACATATCATCTTTGAATGGCTTTTTTCCTCCCTCCTACCCCGTGGATGTCCCTAGACATCCCACCTGTTACTCTGTTTATTTAAAAACTTAGTAAAGGGAGCTGGGGTTGTGGCTCAGTGGTAGAATGATTGCCTAGCATGTATGAGGTACTGAGTTTGATCCTCAGCACCACATAAAAATAAAAAAATAAAATAAAGGTATTGTGTCCATCTACAACTAAACAAAAAACGAAACAAAATAAAAAAACCCCAAAGGATCAGAGAGGCCCATTTCATGTTAAGTTATAAATGGCATGATGGATTTGAAATTATGTGTTCACAAATTCCATGTCCAGAACATACACTTGTGGCATCCCGAAGTCATAGCCCCTGGTTATTCTGCCATCCGTGGTGGAGGAGACTTTTGCTCTGTGGTGTGACTCTGTGGACTCATGTCCTAGCTCCATTATTGTCTACCTCTGTGTATTTTTAGACAAGGTATTAAATGTCCCTAAGCCTCAGTCTCCTTATTTATAAAATGGGGTTAAAACCTATCTGGAAAGATTATAAGAATTAAATGGCAAAATGTACATCATGTGCCTGGTATATGGCATACAATAAATGTTAGGTTTCTATATTAATAAACATTATTATCCTTATGTTGGTGTTGAATACTGAAGATTTGGTGCTGTAAGAGAGAGGTCCCAGGCTAAAGTACTCCCAGGGCTAAGAATGCTTGATCTCTTTTTCTAATTCCCCCAACCCTTTTTCTCACTAAAGAAACATATTGTTTTCCAGATGGAGGGGGTATGGCCCCAGCTTAAAATCACCTTTATTTCTCTAATCTTTGTTTGGGGTTGGGCTACAAGGAAAAAGGACTTCTCTGTGGTCCCAACATAACCACCATCTCAATTAGGCCAAGCAGAATGGCAAAGAAGAGATGGGGGTGAGGAACTGGTATCCAGCCTACCTGCACTACACTATTAAAATGTGGGGTGTGAGGTCCTTCTCTATTTAGCCTCAAGTTACCTTCAGCTTTGCCGTGGAGATAATTTATCCAGTGTTGAAAATTCCCCTACCTTTGCCTATTAAGAGGAAAAGGCTGTTGGGGAGAAGATGGGCCTGAGATGAGGTCCCTCTAGATGCTTCACCTAGGCCATCTATAGGTCCACGGAACCATGACTGCTCCATTCTGCAACCTCAAGGCCAGATATTGGGATTTATTACTCAAGAGGGGAATTGAGGTAGAAATGGCCCCTTAGAGAAACGAGGATCCCTATATCCCTAGGCCCCCACACCTGGTAGAATTTGGAGTGACTTGGTGAGTGGAGATATATCTGACCATACTGATTTTCTTAAGAAGAAACCATGTGGGATGGCTGATGAATTGGAATAGGCTATAGACACAAAAGGAACTGATCCTTAAAGAGTTCAGAGAAAGGTTATAAGGCCACTGCTCAGGCTTTCTGGCAGCCTAACAGGGCCCAGTTGTAGTTAGGAGGAAGGGGTGGTGCTGGCTGGGGGAGGTTTTCCTCACTGCAACAGGGAGAAACCAGGGTGCTGCTCTGTACTTTATTTGTGGCTTGTCATTGCCTTTCCAAGTTCCTGCTCTTCTTCCTGGCCATGTGTACAATAGAGACAATGGATAGCTACCTGCATGGGTCTGGCCTTCCTCATCCAGAGCTCTCAATGTGAGCTGAGGGAGAGGATCCTGTCCCCAAGTTACTGGAAAAGTAGCTTCACGTGAAAGGACCCCTGCTTTGAAGGGAACTATAAAAGGTCAGTTAATTCATGCTGCCGTCACAGTAACCTAAACTCCAAGCCAAGTGTGACCTACTTCTAATCTAATGGATGGAGCAAGGGAGTCGTGGGAGCTGTATCCCTGTGCCTGGCCGGGGCCTCAGGAATCCCATGCAAGATGCTTTCTTGGTTACCTCAACCCTCAATACTCTTAAACGATACAACCCACTCCTATGTTTCCCTCCCTTCTATTTTTCCAAACAAGCTTGGATGGTGGAGTGCCTTCTGCCCCACCCCAAAGTCAAAGGTCCCAAACCTGACCCCAAAACACCCTTTTTTGYAGTTACCTCTGGGTCCCAGGCTCCAGGCTAAGCAGCTCAGGAAAACATTCCAGTTCTTGGACAGATCTTGGTTCAGGTCTCAGGTGGAGCACRGCAGTGACCGGGTAAAGTGCAAGTTGTCAATCCATGTTTCTGGGCTCCCTTAGCATATCCCTTCTTGGTACTGTCTTTCTTTTTGCACAGCAGCCTCACTGAAACAGGAAACAGACAAAGCCACAATGCTCGCAAACCCCAGTTCCTCTGCTCTCCTTGCAATCTGAGTGGGCCCCTGAGCCCTGGGGCCTCCAGGGCTGGGCTGAGGAGCTCCTCCCATCAGAGGGCACCCCAGCTACCCTTTCTCCTGCTACCAGATTGGTCTGAGCTCTTGGACAGTTTCAAGTCAAGATCTGTTTCCAGGATTAGACAAGGATGCTCCTCTGGGTCCCATGCCAACTTTGCAGTTTCTTTCTTTCTTTCTTTTTAAAAATATTTATTTATTTATTTTTTATATGTAGTTGCACAYAATACCTTTATTTTATTTATTCATTTTTATGTGGGGCTGAAGATCGAACCCAGGGCTTTGCACATGCTAGGCAAGCKCTCTACCGCTGAGCCTCTACTGCTGAGCCACAACCTCAGCCCCAACTTTGCAGTTTCTATGAGTGGAAAATGCCTTTTTTGTAGTAAGACCTAGATGAGATGTTCTCAGCATAGGTTTTCATGTGTATTGGGTAGTTCTCTGTGTAAGGTTTTTCCCTTTCCCAGGTGGGATTGGGAAGATATTTCATTTTTCTGAAGACCTGGTGTCTTTTGCAGAAATCTAGACCAAGGTCAGCTCTGTTTTGCTCCTTCTTTTTTTTTTTCTTTTAATTTTTTATTTATGCTTTTTAGCTATACCTGACAGTAGAATATATTTTGACATTTTTTACATACATGGAATACTTCCCATTCTTGTGGTTGTTCACAATGTGTAATTACATGGGTCGTGTATTCACATATGAACATAAGAAAGTAATGTCTAATTCATTCTACTGTCTTTCCTATTCCCATCCCTCATCCCCCTCCCTTCCTTTCATTTCCCTTTGTCTAATCCAATGAACTTCTATTCTTCCATACCCACCCTGTTTATTGTGTCTTAGGATCCACATATCAGAGAGAACATTTGACATTTGTTTTTTGGGGACTGGCTTATTTCACTGAACATGATAGTCTCTAGTTCCATCMATTTACAGCAAATGCCATAATTTTGTTCTTCTTTATGGCTGAGTAATATCCCATTGTGTGTTTTGCTCCTTCTTAAGCAATGAAAAGGGRGGTGAAAAGGAAGGTGGCTGAAGATGAAGAGAGGAGTATCAGGCAGAATCTGGTCAAGAAAATTTCCCAGTCAATTAAACTAGGAAATTTGGGGGAAAATAAAAGAAATCTATATGCATTAAAAAGAAACTATTACAAATGATCTAGTTAGGGAATTCCCAAGAAGTTCAGGATAAAATAATGGAGAGGGCACTGGGTTTAAACAAGCTCACTGAACCGATTTGTAAACTTGTSTAATTCACCTTGTCTAAATGAGAGACTCACTATGGTG